ATGATGGATAACGTATGCGGGAGTAACTAGAGAGAAGTTGGAGCAAAGAAGTAAGAGAGAGAGTCAAATGTATTAAGTGAACTCAGCGTGGTTTACAAATGGGGAAAGGGATGCTATTTATAGCAGCAATAAATGCTAGATAGGGACACGTGTCATCATTCTGGTGGTCGAGGGGTCACCTCAACGGGATGGCACTGGCACTCGCATGTGGCCGCATTAAATGCGGTGGTTGGATGTGACGTTTGTACTCGGTACGTTGATCCAGCGCATGTGGGTGGGAGATTCTGTCGAGGAGATGCCTTCGGCCGTAGATGATTAGCCGAAGGCTCCTCATCCCGGGGGCCTCTAGGTGCCGAGAGCTCTAGGTACCGAGGGCTACTGTATTCGCCGCTTTCTCCCAGACACTTTGAGTGCTTAAAAGCAGTTGTACTGTAAGTTTATGAGCCTTTGGCCAGGGGGCCGAAGGCACCCCAGTGTTCGTCGTGGGCTGTTTGGCACTTGGGGCGCTGTGATTTGGGCCTACTGTGCTTCCTGGGCCTATTGGGCCTTTGCTATAGTAGTGGGAGTCTATGGGCCGGGGGTTCCTGGGCCATATACTCCATCACCATCAAATTGGTTTCCTTGCTTCCTATGTTCATCTTGACGGGCATGCAAACCTAACTAGAAAAGCAGGATGCAACTTTATTTAGGTTTCGCTACTTTCAACTCCCATATTTGTCATCTATGTGACTTAGATAAGAATGACCGCAAATGGTTCCGAAAATGTGTTAGATAGAAAAAGTTTCAGGAATGTGTCTCCCAAGTTTCTATTAAAACTTGGGGTTCTATGCTAAAAGGTCAATCTGTTACGAGGAGTAGCCCAAAGATTTATATGTTGGTTTGTATTTCTATACGCAACCGGTGTAAAACAGTTTAATACGCCCCCGCAAGATGGTGGCTCGGTTGAGGAGACCAACCTTGTAGTCCGTGTGCTCATTGTTGAGGCTTACCAGGATCTAATTACTCGTTGAGGCTTAATTTGCTCTGATACCATACTAAGACATGGGGTTCCATCCTAAAAGGTTAACCTCTTAGGACGAGTAGGCCAAGGCTTTATATGTTGGTTTGTATTTCTATACGCAACCGGTGTGGGACAGTTTAAGAGTTTTTGAACCTGGTGAGGGTGGTATTTTAGGGGCATTTACACCTGATAAATTTGATTTAAAGTGTCAAACCAATTGGGAAACAATGTCCGAAAATACACTTAAGATGAACAACCTAACAAATAAGTTTGATAAAGCTATCGTTCTTGGTGATCTTAAAGAGCAGACAGTTGTTTGTGGTGAACTCTACATATATTGCAGTCCAAAAAGCCATCTCCATGTATTTTATATGTGTAATATTTAAATCTCTAATGCATGTTGGGCAATTACTCCTTATTTTATTATTTACTTTTCATTTTAAGCTATTCAAAATTATTTTCATTTAATTTTGTGATCAGATGGATGATGATGTGATGCATATTGTAGTGGATTTTCTCAAGACTTTAAAAAGGAATCACACCGGCGCCGGCCTACCCTTTCTAGGTTTCACAACATAGTTTCTGGACTATTTGGCCATTCTCTCCGGCCAAAATTATTCTTCTGACAATCTTTTATGCGGCATAATGTTTTGTAATATGAGACTTGTAATCGTTACAATTGATGTATTTTCTTTTCCTCCACGCTACAGACTTTAATATGGAGTTGATTAAAAGCATCTTCTCTGTAGTTGGTTTGCCAATCTTGTGTAAAAATATCTTGTAGATCGATCAACGAAGAAAGCCAAGGATAGTATGAGGAAAATTGATCTTCACTTTTCAGAGCATCATATCACTTCCAGCAGGTATGTATCCATGGCTCATAGTTTTAATTTGTCTCTTTGTTGGTTTCATTTATTTAAGAAACCCCCCATTTTCACCCAGCATTCTCTTTATAATTTCTCACAGCTAGCAAGCCCTTCCTTTACTTGGCTTCTTCTTCATCTTCTAAGTCAAAATCGAAATCTTCCGAATCTCGTTCCCACCATGATTCTTCTTCTACATCTTCTCCTCGTCCTCCTCCTCATGAAAATTTTATAGATTCGTGCATAAATCTGTTGAAGTGTTAAACACATTTAGAAATGCCCGTAACGCGTCTAGATGCAAAGTTTTATCTATATAATTATTTTGGTTTAGAAATCTGTCCAAGGCTTTATATGTTGGTTTGTGTTTCTATACGCAACTAGTGTGGAACAGTTTCATACGCCCCCACAAGATGGTGGCTCATTGGAGCACACCGATCTCGTAGTCCGTGTGCTCGTTGTTGAGGCTTACCAGGATCTAATTACTCTTTGGACCTTACTTGCTCTGATACTATATTAAGACTTGTGGTTCCATCCTACAAGGTCAACCTGTTAGGAGGAGTAACCCAGGACATTATATGTTGGTTTGTATTTCTATACGCAACCGGTGTGGGACAGCTTAATAGTTTCTGAACTTGGTGAGGGTGGTATTTTAGGGGCGTTTACATCTGATAAATGTGATTTAAAGTGTCAAACCAATTGGGAAATAATGTCCAAAGATACACTTAAGATGAACGGCCTAACAGACAAGTTTGATAAAGCTATCGTTCTTGGTGATCTTAAAGGGCAAACAACTATTTCTGGTGATCTCTACATATATTGAAGTCCAAAAAGCCATCTCCAAGTATTTTATGTCTATAATATTTAAATCTCTAATGCATGACGAATAATAACCTTGATTTTTTGGGCAATTACTTCGTATTTTATTATTTACTTTTCATTTTCAGCTATTCAAAATTATTTTTATTTAATTTTATGATGAGGTGGATAATGATGTGATGCATATTGTAGTGGATTTTCTCAAGACTTTAAAAATGAATCACACCGGCGCAGGCCTACCCCTTTCTAGGTTTCACAACATAGTTTCTCGATTATTCGGCCATTCTCTCCGGCCATAATTATTTTCTTCTGACAATCGTTTATTCGGCATTATGTTTTGTAATATGAGACTCGTAGTCGTTACAATTGATGTATTTTCTTTTCATCCACGCTGCGGACTTTAGAATGAAGTTAATTGAAAGTATCTCCTCTGTAGTTGGTTTGCCAATCTTGTGTAAAAATATCTTGCAGATCGATCAACGAAGAAATCCAAAGATAGTGTGTGGAAAATCGATCTTTACTTTTCATATCATCATACCACTTCCACCAGGTATGTATCCATTGCTCATAATTTTAATTTGTCTGTTTGTTGGTTTCATTTATCTAAGAAACCCCGTATTTTCACCCAACCTTCTCTTTTTAATTTCTCACAGCTAGCAAGCCCTTCCTTTACATGACTTCTTATTCTTCATCTTCTAAGTCAAAATCGAAATCTTCGAAATCTCGTTCCCACCATCAATCTTCTTCTTCGTCTTCTCCTCGTCCTCCTCCTCGTGACTTTGAAGAGATGACATTCAATACTGATTTTCTTGATGCCTCGTATTATGAAAATTTTATAGATTCGTGAATAAATCTGTTGAGGTCTGAAACATATTTAGAAATGCCTGTAACGCGTCTAGATGCAGAGTTTGATCTAGATAATTGTTTTTTCCTGAAGCTAGTATGGGGTCAATTTTCAATTACAATAGTTGTGAAAAAAAGCGATGTGTATTTAATTGCTTTTGCGTCAAAAAACTGTATATGGTATTTCAAACACGTTCTGATGAGTCTTATGGAACAAATCTTTTCATCTTCTGAGTATAAATCCTACGATTTCCATCAAATTGGTTTCCCTACCTCCTATGTTCATCTTGTAGGGCATGCAAACCTAACTGGAAAAAGCAGGATGCAACTTTATTTAGGTTTCGCTACTTTCAACTCCCATATATTGTGAGCTATGTGACTTAGATAAGAATGACCGCAAAAGTGATTTCCTAATAGCTCGAGCCTTTTTAGTCTTCATTCAAATGGTTCCAGAATGTGTTAGATTGAAGAAGTTTCAGGAACGTGTCTCCCAAGTTTCTATTAAGACTTGGGGTTCAATCCTAAAAGGTCAACCTGTTAGAAGGAGTAGCCCAATGCTTTATATGTTGGTTTGTATTTCTATACGCAACGGGTGTGGGGCAGTTTAATACACCCCTACAAGATGGTGGCTCGGTTAAGCAGACCAATCTTGTAGTCTGTGTGCTCGTTGTTGAGGCTTACCAGGATCTAATTACTCAATGGAGCTTAATTTTCTCTGATACCATATTAATAATAGTTCATAATATGGGGACATCTCTGTAATTAAGTGACTCTTTGTTTATTATAAATACATCACTACCACACCCTATTAGGGTGAGGAATTATTCCATAAATAATATTGCATATGGTATCAGAGCAAATTAAGTTCCAATAAAGACCATCTTTATCCCTTCCATGCTCTTCAGACTACTCTTGTTTCTGGACCCATTTGGCACAAACGTTTGGGGCATTGTGGTGATAGAGTTTTACACACGCTATGGCAAAAACATTTTATTTCTGCTTCTATTAATTTTTCTCATAATTGTGTTTCTTGTAAGCTGGGTAAATGCAACAGACTCCCGTTTCAAGATGTTCTTCATTCATGTGTTGCTCCTTTAGAACTTATACATTCGGATGTTTGACAGTCGCCTATTTTATATAATCTTGATTATAAATACTATGTTCGTTTTATTTTTGATTTTTCCCATTACACGTGGGTTTATCCCATGCGTCGAAAATCTGAAGTTTTTCATCATTTTAGTTTTTTCAAAAACTTGTTGAAAATCTTTTAGATAGGTAAATTAAATCCTTTCAGAGTGATGGGGGTGGCGAATTTGACAATATCATTTTTCAAAATCATTTTTTGCAATCGGGAATTTTATTTAGAAAATCATTGTCACGCCCCATACCGCATCTAAGCGCGTGTACAACCACCATATTATTAAGTGGCGTCACTCGCAAATCAACCTCACATAATCACACAAGGCGTTCATGAACATCGTTCACACCATACTCAGTAAGTAAACATACATAACAACATCACATCATAGATTGAATGAATAGCGGAAAATATTCAACGGTCAATCATAAGCCACATATGGCAAAACGTAGGCTCGCAGGCCAAAAACAATGTAATATTACAAAAGTATCCATGAGCATAGTTTATGATTTGAAATAATAAAGGAAACACGAATCATGTCTTCCTCTAGATTCTTTTCACCCTTGCAAAGGTGTAGACAACAGGCTCTAGCTCCAACCTGAAATGGTGGCCCCCCCAAAGGGGTCAGTACAAGTACCGAGCGAGTAGCAAGCTAAATGTAGAGTAACTAATGTTTCAAGTATAAGACCCAAACATAGGGTGATACATATACTCATACTTCTTTACCCCAAGTTACAAAATTGATGGTCCCAGATAGAGGTAAAAGTCTAGAGGGGGGGGGGGGGGGTGAATAGACTTTTAAAGCTTTTTCGACTTTTAAAAGTTCTCCCTCTAAGGAGTTTGATCTATAATCCTTTGGGAGAATTATAGATGCACAGCGGAAGTCTTTAACCTCTTAGCTAAATGGTGTATAACAACTTTCTATGATGGATGAAGTTTGGGCTTTGTAAGGTGAGCAGTTGGCTTGGCAGTTGGCTAGAAAGCAGGGAACTGCTGAGGCAACTGCTAGCGAAATGCTCAGTGTATGATGAAAGTGCACTCAGAATCTTTCTTAGAGTGGGAAGATCTCTCTGATGATATGACAAGGTAGATTGATAATCAATCTTAACTAAAGCGGTGGTCTTAGCAGTTGAGTGGTAACCAGGGAACTGCTGAGGCACCTGTTTAAGTAAAAGTGAAGGTATGGGAGGATTGATTATATGGTGTTGCTCAAGATGATGTGGGTTTTCTGAAGATGTGAAATAGTTCAAGTAAGTGGGAGTTTTACTGGAACAATGGTCTCACCAGTTGGGTGATATTGAGGGAACTGCTGAGGCAACTGCTGGGTTACCACTTTGAACCACATTAATTAGTTTGAACAAACTTCTTGGAGATAGAGTTGTGAAGGTCTGGTGAAGTGGAGATGTTCAAAGGAAACACTTTTGCATGAGCAGTGGGATTAGCAGTTGGGAAGTCCTAAGGGAACTGCTGAGGCAACTGCTATGCCTTAAGTAGGATTTCCTGAAATCTAATGGAACAGATCTTATAGTTGTGATATTGTGAAGCTCTTGAATCTCAAAGAGAGTGAGTAATTAAGCAGTAGGATAAGCAGTTGGGTCAATTAAGACAACTGCTTAGGATGCTGTTGGCAAACTACGATCTTTATGTGAGAAGTGTTCAGTGTGTGCTTTGTTAACTGAAAATGAATCAACACACAGTATATCCTGGTTCAGAGGTGGTGTAATCCTCCTACATCCAGTCCCACCCTCTTTCAGATGGATTTCACTAATGTATTAAGCCCAATACACTTAGTGCCAATCTAGCCTTGACAACTCTGGCCTAGATTGAAGGTGTTTCACGAGGAGTACAACACCACTCCAGGCTACTCAATCCTTTAGGTTTTCTCAATTGATCCAGTGGGGATCAAAAGGTACTCCTGACCTATCTAACCACACTCAGGCCGGGAACAACTGTCCTCCTGAAGTGTTTACAACAATTTCTGATCTTGTTACAAGAAAGTTCTAACCTCCAATTAGGAACTAAACTTCTAGCATTTTGGAAATGAAGAGCTTGGTACTAAGAAGTTTAGTGAAGCAAGAGACTAAGCAAAGAGTCGTGGATAGAATAACATTTTTCTTTTGCTGGATATTTCTTGAATGCTCAATAGATGATCTCTCTACTTAGGATGCTCAAGCTTGGTTAGAAACTTTCGTTTCAGCCTATATTTATAGGCCCTCCGGTTAATTGATCTTATCTGTTGGTTAGGATAGATCAATCTTGTGCGTTGAATTTGTTCGCAAAAGATAAACAACTTGTTGTTTATTTTCTTCTTCGGAGCGTATGGGTTCTTTTGTCTTGCCCGCCTAGCCACTGTAGATTTCTTTTTAGGCTTCAGACTGTGCGCCCATGCTGTATGTCAATGTACCTGTCTTCAATTATTTTTATTCGCTGAAATATCTCTTTTGTGTGCGTCTTCAATGCTCCGGACCCCAGTACGTATTTGGCATTAAATGTCGGCGAGCATCGTGACATACGAATAATTTTTGAGTCAAATAGTATTTGCCGGTAGGATTCAAGTATCCTATTAAGGTAAAGAAATTTTACCTTATTGCATTTTTACTTTTCAGTAATATTTCTTAGACTCAAAAATTGTACACTTAATTTGTCACGTTAAAATGAGACACAATGTACACGTGCTAGGTATAGTGGCATCATCAAAATCCTATCAAAATTGGGTACTAACAATTTCCCCCTTTATTGATTTTCATTGGATTTTTTTACATTGTTCTAAAGTCTAGAGTACAATAGTTTATAGTCAGTTTCGGACTTTTGATCTATTCTACTCTTCTCCCTCTTTTGCTTTCTTCTTGGTTTCTTCCTTAGCCTTGGCTTCTTCAGCTTTCCTCTTTCTGATTTCCATTTCTTCTTGTAGCTGCTTGTTCTTCATTCTAGTTTTAGTTGCTTTCTTGGCTGCTAGGGATCTTTTAGATGAGGGGCCTGCTTGTGTTGTTCTTTCCCCCTTTTTGGCATCAACAGGGGTCTCACCTTCTCTGAAGAGTGCTTCTATTTCCGGGTCAGACTCAGGCTCTTCTTGCATTTTTCTTGTTGGATCTAGGCCATAGACCTTGATGGTCAAGGCTTTGATGTAGTTATTGACGTCCAGCAGATCCGTTCTTACTTCATCTCTGACTTCATTTTCAAGCCTTTGAACACTTTGGTTGGTTGTTTCCGAATTCTGGCCCAGTCTTTGAATGTCACTTCCATGCTTTAGGAATGCCTCTTGGGTGGCTTTGTGAAGGTCATTGAGGTGTTTGGCAACCTCAGCTCGTGTCTGACCAATTTCCTCAGAGTGTTCAACATGCTTTGTGACCAACTTTTGTGAGAGATGGAGAATGGCAGGTAGCTCTTTGGTCTTTAGGTGTTGTATGAACTCCTCATGGGCCTGTATTGTTAGAAGGGCCTGCTCAAGGTTGAGGGGAAGATTGGGAATAGCAGGTACCTGAGCAGAGACATCTGCTGTTGGCTGGGAGGCACCTGCTTGACCGGAGGCAACTGCTAGCTCCTGGTGGGTTAGTTTCTTCAGTGATTCTATAATTTGATTTTCTAGCTCTTCATCCCTGGCTTTCAAGACTTCAAGCTCTTTGTGAATTGCCTTCATTTGAGCAAGTTGCTGGGTTAGTTGGATTTGCAACTGTGCCTTTTGTTCGGAGTTGAACACTTGCTGAATCATGAGATTGCTTTTGAGATGACAATGAACTTCAGCAAACCTCATCTCTAATAGTTCATCAAAATGTTTCTTCATCTTGATTAGCCGTTTGTGCAATCTAACCCCAGCATTGCTTACGAATTTGATGGTTGCCTTTCTTTCGTTGATGAAGACCTCAGCTAGTGTAGGAGTGTCTTCTTCATCATCATGCTGAATTTGATCTTTGATTTCATTGGACGTGGCAGGCTGCTCAAGTGTGGAGTTGATGTAGAACTCTGCTACTACCTCGGGGTAGAAGCAGGGGTAAGGGTAGGTGGCCATTTTAATGAGTCCGGTTGTTTCTAGCTTTCTGAGCAGTTCCCTCATGAGATCCTTGTTCTCTGCTTTCTCAAGAATCTTAGAAATGTTTAGGATGGACCCGGTGAATATGTTTTTGGCGATTTGAACAAAGGAGACCATTTGTGTACGGAGATTGTGTGTATGTGAGAAATCTGCGGAAGAAGGCTTTTGAGAGTATTAAGAGAGAGTTGAGAGCTTTAGAATTGAAAAGAAAGAGAATGCAAAGTGAAAGTGTGACGGGTTTGTACGCAGGGAGTATTTATAGGCTATCGGAAACTAGCCGTTGGAATATAGCTGTTGGAGAATACGGCTGGCCTTTTCAGCATTAACTGTGTTCATACTGGTAGCAGGGGGCTCATATCTGATTAGATTTTTGATAATTTCTGAGAACAAGATGTACCTTTTTGGAATCCTTGATATGAGGTGATCAAGATGATATAAGTCATGAGCTGAGATTCCCTGTACATTTGTCAGAAATTGAGCCAACTGCTGTCTTGAATCAGTGCCCTGCTTTAGAGGCAGTCACCTGCCGGCGAACTTCGGAAAACTCTAGGAACACTTTAGTCAAGCTCCTAAAATGGTTTTATCATCACAAAACCCATATCAACACAAATAACCTCTAAAATGTTATTTTCCGGCGAACCGGTCATTTTGGCTTCTAAATCCGTTCTTGGACTTAGAACTACCTTTCAAACCCCCCATTCTACACTTCTAAATGTGTAGAATAATTCTAGGGGTCCTCCATATAATATATTAGTCATATGATAGGTAAGAAATACAGGAAAAGTTATTATGAGATCATTACCTTAATCCTTCACACTTTTCCTCACTTTTTCCTTCTTTAACCTTTCTCCTTGGACTCCTATTGCTTGAGTTCGAATTGGCTATGGAGGATGAGTATCTTGCAGAGCTTCTCCTCTCAAAATTATGGGTTTGGGCGAGCTATATGATTGGGGGTGAGAGAGAGTGGTTTATTTTGTCTCAAATGGGAAATGAATGAGGGTGGGGGGTCCTCCATGGTACCTTTGATGCCAAAGCCCACTCATCCACACATTCCCTAGTCAACTCCAGCCTCCTCTCATTAATTTGAGCACACAAATATGTGGGGTGTCCCCCACTCATGTGGGAGGTCATCCCTTTGTGCCCCAGACTATACATTCGGCCCCGAAAGTTGTAATTCTCAGACTGTTTTAATTATATTTTATTTTATCGGGTCAAATAAAATATAAAATACATCCTCAACTATCACGAGACTTTAGATTGAATATACATTCCCTAGCTTTCAATTTAGAAGTCCCCGAAATTCATTTCAGACTGTATCTCATAAATTACTAATGTTGGTAGTTGGGCTCGTTTGACCGACGAGTCAACGTTATGCCTTTTCTATGGCCCAACTAAAATATCCACCACCATATAAATATTATCTAGACCAAGATGAATATAATATGGGGTCCTGGAATTATCGGGTAGTCCCCGTTTCCGGTATGGGCTCCACGTGCGATTTACTATTCACGTAAAAGAATTAATAAAAATTTACAACCTCGTAGATTCATAATTTATTCTTCAAGGTTTATTACATGATTTACTAAAAAATAAATATGCTTGGGGACGGTGTTACATTCATGCCCCGATACCCCTGCCCAAAATGGAGTTGCTGAACGCAAACATCGTCACCTCCTAGAATTAACTAGGACTATGCTGATTGAATCTTCCATTCCCTCTATTTTTTGGGTGGATGCTTTATATACTGCCACTTATATTGTTAATTTATTATCCACACCGCTCTTGAAGAATTTAACTCCCTTTGAAAAGTTATTTAATAAATCTCCAGATTTTAATTTTCTCCGTGTTTTTGGATGTAGTTGTTTTCCTAATTTTATTGCCAAGTCATCCAATAAACTCTCAACACGCTCCACTCATTGTGTCCTTTTGAGTTATGCTCCGGGCTATAAAGGTTATTGTTGTTTAGACCTTGTTTCTGGTCAAGTGTATATTAGCCGGGACGTTCAATTTCATGAGAATGATTTTCCCTACACCCGCCTTACTCATCCCTCCACCACTACCGATGCCTTATCCCCTACTTTAGCTTCTCCTTGGGTGCCCACCTCGACTATGTCTAGGCCTTCCTTACCTAGTATACCAGTAGAACACACCACTTCCCGTCTTCCACCGTCCAGCCCAACCTCACTCATCCTTTCTCCGCCCCAAATTGTACAAACTCCCTCGACTGCCTTCACCAATCCTACGGATACCCCCAGCCCACGGTCACCCACTACCTCTCCCAGTACCGTACCATATCCCCACCATCCCTAGCCAATTCGCATGACACTACACCACCATCCAGCATCATCCTTAGGCAGCCACCTAGCTCGCATGCCTCCTCCTCTATACCCGTTAATATACATCCCATGCAAATCCGGGCTAAAGATGGAATTTTTAAGCCAAAAAGTATTTTTAGTTTAAGTGTTGTTTCACTCCCGGATGATCCCACTTGTTTTTCTCAAGCTCAAAAACATTTTATATGGCGGCTGCCATGGCTGATGAATTTAATGATTTAATTGCCAATAAGATTTGGGATTTTGTTCCTTATGACAGCACTAAAAATGTAGTTGGTTGTAAGTGGGTGATGGAGTATATGGGTCTGAGCCCCCGGACCCACATACTCGGAAGAACAGAAAGCACAAGACACAGAGTGGCGCCCTCGTCGGCCAAGACGCCCCCGTCGGCCGAAAAGGGGCCAACTCAGATTATGGTCCTGAGCCCAAGGAACCCGGGTGCCCTCGTCGGCCGCGCCCTCGTCGGCCACGCCCTCGTCGGCCACGAAGACCTCCCAGAACCGGATTTTACACTTACTCATTTGTACAGCCCATTAGCGGCTTTGTATTCGGCCCAGTAGCGGTCCAGTTGTAAATGGGCCTCCCAAGCCCAAGGCTTGGGAGCCCAGCCCGTATTTTCTCTATAAATACTCCCCTTTGGGGTAAAGCATCGTTTCTCCTCCGTTGCCTATCCTCAGGGCAACGGGCAAGTCGAGAACGCCAACAGAACAATCATGGAGGGGCTGAAGAAGAAACTCCAGGCCGCAGGAGGTAGTTGGGTCGACGAGCTCCCCAACATCCTGTGGTGCTACAGAACCACGCCGAGGAGGGCGACAGGTGAAACGCCTTTCGCCCTGTGCTACGGCTTTGAAGCAAAGGCGCCCACGGAAGTTGCCATCCCCAGCCGACGGGTGGAACAGTACGAGCCTGACACCAACGAAGAAAACATGAAGATTGACCTGCACCTGGTCGATGAGAGGCGTGAGCAAGCTTACGTCCGAGCAGAGAACTACCGGCGTCAAGTAAAATCAGTTCTTGGGGGAACGGGCAGAGAACTACCGGCGTCAAACTCCCCCACACTTAGTTTCTTTACTTGTCCTCGAGTAAAGCCAAATGTTTACAAGTTTTTATGTCTTCAATAGTTCAACAATTTAACAAGAAAGAGCAAAAGACCACCAAGGATTGTACATTAGATTTAAATTGAGTTTTGAGCTCAAAGATTAATATTTTCTTGGGTTTTATGGCCTTCTATGCTCTTCTCTTGTTTTCAATTCCTTCATTCCGCTTCTTGAGACCACCATTGCCCTGTAAAAAAAAAGAAATGAACCTCTAATATCTCTCATTTTGCTTAGGAGCCTTTCCAGGTTTTCATCCTAGCATCTCGTTTTGTTTTGTTCCTTTCCAACTCACTCATTAACATTTTTTTATAAGCCCTTTTTGCTTAGATTGCCCGTTTTTGGGGTTTTCAACCTAACTAGCATTTCCCTTTTTTTTTCTTTTTGTTTTTGTTTTTTTTAAATGATGCAAGTTACAAGGTTGAAACAATTAAGTACGTACCAACGAGTGATTCCCCCTCACTTAGCTTGAAGCATTGTCCCTAATGCTCGTCTCCGTCAAAGCCTGGCTGACCGCCACCATAGTCTCCTCCACTGTAGCCGACGTCATCCCCAAAATTACCCCACTGAGAGGGGTCATACCATGACGGGTGCTGCACTGGGGGCCGCATAGAGGAGAAGTGCCCCTGCTGATGATGGGAAGCATAGATGGGGCTATTGCCCGTCGGTTGTCGTCGTCCATGCGGTTGACCCAGAAGCTCAAATCCCGGAGTCCTTCCAATAGAGCACGTTGGTTCTCAAGCACTTGTGTTTGATACAGATCGTACTGGGGTGGGTCGTGAGGTGGGGCTGGAACGTCTTCAGGAATTGGAGGGGTTTGTTCTTGTGCGGGTTCATCTTCTTGGTTTTGAAAATATGGTGGGATGGCTGGAGGGAGGCAATAGTGGTGCACAAGAGGTGGTTCTACTCCGAACGGAATAGTGGGTAGCCCCTCGGAGGGGATCATGAAGTAACAAGTGGGTTTCGGGAAGATGGACCATTTGTAAAAGATTTTCCCCTTGTAATCACGATGAGAGAACTTGATGTCTTTTGAATTGCCCAGATGTGTTATGTCAAAAAGACAGAATTCGGCTATTGGTGCATTGTCTACGTAACCGAATTTTGTAGCTATGTGGAGAATAACGCCCCCTATCCAAATTTTTCCTTGGGCGGTGCATTCTTTGTACAGATGTTCCTACATACGGTTCACAATGTTGTAGTGGAAGGGAGGTATGTCAAACAATGCATTAGCTAGAATACATATATCACCTGTTCGTGCTTGGTGATTGTTGGGGCGTCCAAACACAAAGCTAACCAAGTATTTCAAGAAAATGCGTAGCACTGGGTGTTGGACATGGGTTATGACAAGATTTTTGGAGCTAAAGGTCATTTCCCCCGTCATTTTTTCCACAATTCAAAGCCATACCCAGTGTCGGACTCTTGGGCGTTTTGTGGTGGCACGGGCAAGCCAAAGTGCTCCGCAAACTCACGTTTTGTTATGGAATGTGTTTTATTGAATAAACGAAACGTGAGTTTATCCTCCCTATCATCATTATCATCTTTGATTCTCTCAACGAAACCCAAGAATTCATACACAAGTTCATCATTTGGGTTATATTTCAACCCAAAAATTGTGCTCATTCCCAACAATTCACCTAATTGAAGCATCATAGCAAGAATTCCTAGCTCATCCAAAGTATTCATACACAAAAAATGGGAATGATGTACCTCTCTTTTAGTTTGGGCCAAGACTTTTGCCCGGTGAGCGGATGAGGTGATGATGATGTTTTCAAAGCCGGGAACCGGTGCTCTTGAAGAAGAACTTTCTCCTCTTGTCCTCTTTGGTGCCATTTTTGCTAGAAAATTTGGATTTTGAGCTCCAAATTTCGGACTTTTACGTGGTGGGGTTGGGTTTTTCGGACTTTACGAATTTGGGAGAGAATGTGGTGTTGATGGGTATGGGTGTGTAGAGGGAGATGTGGGGAAGATTTTGGTGGTGGTTTGGAGGGATTTGGTGGAGAATTCTGGGAGTAATTTGAGATAGAAAAGCCGGCTATGGAGGTTTGGGGAGGGTTTGGTCGGATTTGGGGAAGAAATTTGGGAAGAAGAAGGTCGTTCGTGAATTAAAATGCTGAGCAATCCCGCTTACCCGACCGGGTAAGTGTGTATACCCGATCGGGTACACGAGTTAGTGTGCTCCGGACTTTCACGTTTTAAGCATACCCGGTCGGGTAAGTGGCTATACCCGATCGGGTATCTTCCTTTTCTTTGATTTCTGGGATTTTCATACCCGATCAAGTACACGAGGCAGTGAGCTCCGGAATTTCACGTTTTAAGAATACCCGGTCGGGTAAGTTGCTATACCCGATCGGGTATCTTCCTTTTCTTCGATTTCTGAGATTTTCATACCCGATCGACTTCTTCTCGTCGTAGTTTTTGAAATTTTATTTCCCTTATACCCGACCGGATATATACATGTGCCCGATCGGGTATTAAGTCGTGGTGCACAAAACTTTTTTTTTGTTTTTTTTACTGAAATGTGTAAAAATAAAATAAAATAAGTAAACGTACCTTGCATGGGTTGCCTCCCAAGAAGCGCCTCATTTAACGTCGCGGCACGACGCTATCATTGTTTTCAGTCATTCAAACTTGGATCATGATAGTTTATTTTCTTCACACTTTCACTCCTAGGACTTCCATAGGAGTGCTCAATTTCTCGACTCTCCACTTTGGAATTCTTTCCAGGATCAAATATCCAGATTTTCATTGATTCGTGTGGTGGGAGGAAGGGGAAGAAATTATCGTTTAGTATGGTCAATAAAAAGTTTTTCGATCCCTCAATTTTGAATAATATTTCAGAAATGTCATTGTCCTTTTCAAGTTTATGAGTTTCCCTCAAAATTTTTAGAATTGATGGGGGTACCTCAAAAGATGACAAGGATAGATATTTAACCTTGAAGCTCAGATTATCCTCTTCTTTGACCAGTTGGAGCTTCGTGTCTTTTTCTTCCTCTACTTCTTCTGCATTCTGGATCTCTTTTTGCATTTCGTCTTCATTTGTCAATGTGATTACAAAAGTTTGCTGTCTAGGATCACATTCTATTTGAGAGGAAAGTTTTCCCGAATCTCTTGCTTCAAGCCTACTCACGACTCCGGCTATTTGACTCACTTGAGATTCCAAGTTCAAAATGCTAGACTTGGTCTCATTTTGGAATTGCACCATGTTTTGTTGCATGGTGGTCACGCTGTTAGTAAGAGCCCGAACCATGTCCTCCGTAGACATGTTAGAGTTGGAGAATGGATCATACCTCATGTGAGGTACATAATTAATTTGTGCGAAGTATTCTTCTTGGAGCTTTAGGAAAAAATCCGCAATATGCCTGTGAGACATGCAAATATCGCACGTCTTGGCATCTTGAGTTTCTGAGCTTAAGATAAACTCCTTTATGAGAGAAGCCAAAACGGAAATTTGACTCTCTAAGGAAGATGTGTTGGTATCCATATACTCATGTAAGCTCAGAAAATAGAAAAGTAAATTTTATATATATATATATATATGTTGGAGATATTTAATTGTGAATCAAGTTGGTCATATATTAGCTTTATATTTAATCCTTGTATTTAAATAGTGCATAAATTAGATAGAAATCAGGCCAAGTGTTAGGCCCATTTAAACAGGCCAAAAGCCTGGTACGCCTAGCCTAAACCTCGCCTATAAAAAGGGAGCCGAGGTTTAGGAAAAGGCTGAACGTCGTACTTATTATTCATAGCCTTACGCTTATTATTCTGCTGTACGTTCCACGGTTTATCAAAGAAGGTTTTACGGTGATTCATTCTGTGTTCATCTTTACGTTTAATCTTCCTTGTTAGATCGATTATTCATTGCTGTTACAGAAACAGGGACTAACAATTGGTATCAGAGCCGATCGAGAACGATAAGAAGAACTCCTGCAGAATACTCTGTTTTTTGTTAACGTAGTTCATTCTGTTGATTTTTTGCTCTGTAATTTTGTTTCTTGTTCAAAAATTGTAAAAGTTACACCTTTGGAATCGCCTTTTCAAAGCGATCAAAGGGTATACTTCAGTTTGTGTTTTACGCAATTTTAGATTTCGAGATATCTCGAGCTAGGCATCTCGACATCCTACTTCTTAACAGGTTCTGCTACGTTTTTCGAGCTGAAAACTTTACCAGAAGATCTCGACATTCAACTCTACAGGAAACTATCTTCAGATTTTGTTTATCTGATTTTTACAGGTTGCAGGATTTCGACATTGAGGATTTCGACATCTAGGATTTCGAAATCTTGATTTCGAGAAAAGGATTCGACATCTGGTCTCGACATTTGACTCATCAGATTAAGATTTCGAGAGATTAACTTCTCGACATTTCAAATCTCGAGATCAGCATCTCGAAATTTGAAATCTCGAGATCCCTAATCTTGAGATCCTTAATCTCGAGCCCAAATCTCGATACCGGGCCTCCTTTATCGAAATCTGAGATTTCGATATTCAGATCTCGACATCTGATTTTTCGAGATTCTGCCTCTGAAAATCTTTTGATCAATTTTCTCGAACGGTCAGTTTAGTACAACAATGGGTTCAGAATACAATGCACAAGGGAACAACAGTACCCCTCCTAGCCTCAGGAAGGGAGAATATCAAATGTGGAGGAACAGATTTCTAAACTTCCTCGAGCACAAAGAGAACTCTTCTGCAATGCTCGAATCTTTGCTTGAAGGACCAGCTGAACTCTTGATTTCAGTTGGTGGAGATCCAGAGAATAATCCTCCTATTTTTCCAGAAATAAGGAGAAAAGTGCCGTCTGAATACACAGAAGCTGACAAGCTCAGACTTCGTGGTGACCTTATGGCCAAAACGTGCCTCCTTCAAGCAATACCAAATGAGGTTTATGTTCTCATAGATAGCATGCAGACAGCTAAGGAAATGTGGGATGAAATAGAGAAGCTGCTACAAGGCACAAGCATCAGCCTCAAAACAAAGAAGACTACGATTCTCATCGCTTATGACTCCTTCAAAGCAGGTCCAGGAGAACCATTGAATGAGACTTACAACAGACTTGTTCAACTGGTAAATGAACTCAGAAAGATCAAAGTATTCAGGTCCAATCTGGAACTGAATATTAGATTTTTATCCAGCCTGCATCCTGCATGGGAAAAGACAGTGAAAGATGTCAGATCTCGGATAGATTTGGACGAAATTGACCTCTACACACTCTATGAACATCTGAAACAATTCGTCAACGAGGTTGCCTGTGCTGAGGATCATCACACCACAAACCCCTTAGCTCTAGTAATGGAGGCTCAGCCAAGAAGAACAACCACTTCACTAAAGAAGAAAAAGAAGAAGGTGGTGGTTGAATCAGATGATGATGGGAGTGATGATGATAAATCTGATCTAGAGGTTGAGCTAGCTGACTTACAGAAGAAGATGGCACTGCTGGCCAAAAGATTTGCTAAGAAAAACACCTCCTCCAACAGGCTTAGAACTTCCTCCTCAAACTACAAGCAGAAGAACCATGATCAAGGATCTTCTAGGAAGGCATCTTCAGCAGAAGAAGCTCCTAAATGCTATAATTGCGGCAAGCCTGGACATGTGATCAAAGACTGCCGCCTCCCAAAGAAGAAAGATGCTAACTTCTACAAGCAGAAGATGCTGTGGAATAAGCAGAAAATGCTGATGGTGCAGAAAAAAGAAGAAACCTCTGCCATGATTGCTGAAAATGAGAACTGGGCAGAAGATTCTTCTGAGGAGGAGGAAGAGGAAGACAACTATGCTCTTATGGCAAGTGTGGAGGGAGATGAAATAAAGGGTGATGCTGCGATCCACGAAAGCAAGTGCTCAACAAGCTCTGTAAGTACCTCCCATACTTCTTTAAATAATCAAATGCAGTCCTTACTTGAAAAGGACAATCTAATCAAAGAACTAAAGGAGAGACTAGACAATAATCATAGAGTTCTGAAACAGAATCTAGACCAAAAGTCTTCCTTAAGTATTCAACTTGAAATTGCAAAAGATCAAGTCAAAAAGGTGTCCTCAGATTTTGAAAGCTTTGAACTTAAGATAGCTGAATTAACTAAGAAATTTGAGGACAGTGAACGGGAAAAAAGCACAGCAAAGGCTGAATGCGATTTTTTGCATAACAAAAGAAGAACGCTTTTGAATAAAGTAAAAGAACTAGAAGATCTAGCTGCTAGAAGAGGTCAATATGAACAAACTGTTTTTCTGCTTAACAACAAACAAAAGGATGACCGATTTTACAATGCTAAAACAGGACTGGGCATAACCAACCCACGTAATCTTAAGAAAGTTAATTGCCTTCAAATCTATAACAAAGATTACATGGGATTAGGGTTTGGCGAGAAAATGTATTTTCGAAGTGATGAAGATTATGCTGAAGCAGAAGAAGAAAAGAGAAAGAAACCAAAACCTGCGATTTCTTGTGATTATCCCTCTGTAAATGAAAAACAACTTTCAGAAGAAAAACCGACTTCCTGCTTTAGTGAATGCCTAGACCCTTATGCTAAAGATATTCCTCACATAGGACACCCTCTATACCCTCCCGCAAGAGTTGATATTGCTAAAACTGGTGAGGAACCATGTATTTTTCCCATTGCTCAAAAGCTCAAAAACCTACAAAAAACTCTTGATAACGAGAGAGAGAGATTTGAAACTGAAAAGAAAGGTTTTGAGCGCAACTGGCAGGAACTTATTCAAAAATTTAATGATTTGAGTGAGCAGTTTCATGCTAAAACAGACCCTTCTACGACCAAGCCTGACAGCTCACACACCTCACATGAGAAAAACAATGCTTTTAAAGGTTCGTCCACTCATCTCTCTTCTCCTTTGTTTACAGGGAATGAAGTGAATAAGGAAGGAGAAGAGAAGAATGAGTGGAGGAAAAAGAGGAAGGAAATCGCAGATGGCAAAAAGAAAGTTTTTGAGAATAACGCCAGCCCTAGATCTAGTTCAATTTTTTACTCAAAAGTTAATTGTAATTCTGTCTCTACAAAGCAAACTTCTAGTAGTTCAGTCTTGAGTCCCAAGCTGAATATTTCTGAGACATCTTCTAGACAAAGTTCTATCTATAATACAAGTGTTGCTTATGGTTATTCTGTTCCAGATCCCCATAATTATGAATGTGATATGAATGTTGTTAAATCTAAGCCTTTCAGAAAGCTTAAACTTGAAAAAGAAACCAAGAAAGGAACTTCTAAGGGAACGTTTTGTATTCCTGATATGAAATATGCCCTTAGAGTTCATTCTAGGAAACATCTTAATCGGCTTTCTAAGGAGGAGACTTTCAAAACCAAACTTAAGAAACAACCGTTCAATCACAAAGCACCTGTCTACTCTCCTCCTGAACCTAAAATGAATAGGTGGGTCCCCAAGATAAGACCTACCAAAACTGAAACAGATAGGTGGGTCCCCAAGATGAGACCTACCAAAACTAAAACAGATAGGTGGGTCCCCAAACGAAGACCCATCCAAACTGAAACCGATAGGTGGGTTCCCAATCGAAGACCCATCATAACTGCAACTGAAAGGTGTGTCCCCAAACTTAGACCCACAAGAACTAAAATGGAAAGGTGAGTTCACAACATCAGACCCACCAAAATGGAAATTGCTAGGTGGACTCCAAAAACCAGACACACTGCAAAAGCAGATCTGGCTATTGGAAAGCCCATCAAAGATAGATCTTTTGTTGAAAGAGCAACTGACCTTGGATCACTGCTCAAAGCAAGAGTTAAAAAGGTGTTTCTTGATAATAAGGAAGGACCCACTCCAAGTTGGGTACCTAAACCTATTTGATTGTTTTGCAGGACGGTCATGTATGGCACTTAGACTCAGGATGCTCAACCCACATGACCGGAATAAAGCACCTTTTGAGCAACTACACCAACTGCTACGGAGGCAATGTCAGATTCGGGAATGACGCCTCATCTCCTATCCTTGGGTATGGGGACGTCATCTGTGCCAGCGTCACAATAAAAGATGTTTCATTCGTCAAAGGGCTCAAACACAACTTACTGAGCATTGGACAATTCTGTGACAGCGGGATGGAAGTGAGGTTCTTTGCAAAACAATGTTGTGTTCTTGACAGTACAGGGAATACATTATTAACGTGTTACAGAACATCAAATCTGTACACTATTGATCTGAAAAGCGTCCATCCACCACTTCCATCTGTCTGTTGTCCAAAGCTTCAACTGAACAGAACAACCTATGGCACAGACGTCTCGCCCATCTGAACTTCAAACATCTATCAACCTTGTCCTCCAAGAAACTTGTCAAGGGGCTTCCTCTGCTAAAGTCTTCCGCTGAAAATCATTGTAGTGCCTGCAAAATGGGCAAAATGACGCGAAGCTCCCACAAGTCAAAAACCGAACCTTCATCTACTCATCAGTTACAGCTAATACACATGGATCTGTGTGAACCTATGAGAGTACAAAGCATCAACGGTCGCAAATACACTCTGGTGATCGTTGATGACTTCTCTAGATATACATGGACAAAATTTCTCCGTTCAAAAGACGAAGCTGCGGAAAACATTATGACCTTTATCAGAACGATCCAGAAACTGCTACAGCACAGTGTTCGAATTGTGAGAACTGACAATGGTACCGAGTTTAAAAATCAGACTCTCAGTGAGTTCTATGAATCACTCGGTATCACTCAGCAATTTGCAGCAGCTAAAACTCCCCAGCAGAACGGAGTTGTTGAGAGAAAGAACAGAACCCTTGTTGAAGCAGCACACACCATGTTAATTCAATCAAGACTGCCTCACTTCATGTGGGCAGAGGCAATCAATACTGCGTGCTTCACTCAGAACAGAACCTTCATCCACAAGCGCTTCGACAAGACTCCATATGAGATCCTATTCAACAAAACTCCTGATATTTCCTTCCTCAAGGTATTTGGCTGCAAGTGCTTCATACTCAATGATCGGACAGAGAGAAGTAAGCTGGATCCCAAAGCCAGAGAAGGCGTGTTCATTGGCTACTCACTGCAATCCAAAGCTTACCGAGTCTATCTCAGAGAAAAGCGGACTGTCATCGAGAGTGTAAACGTTACATTCTATGAAATGGCAGACTTTGCTATTGAACATCTCCAGACCGATCCATCCACTGCTGTACCAGTAGCTTTTGATAAAGCTGAACCAAACACCGAACACGACGATGTGATTCTCGACTCTCTCTTCAGAAACTTTTACGAGAACTCACAATCTCCACCTCCTGCATACACTCCAGAGTCAACATCAACTCCAACAGCAGAGATTCCGCTCCTCACAGGACCAGATGACGTACCATCCACACCCTCAACCCCTCAAACCAATCCCAGAGGTGTGGATGATCACGGCTTTGCCATAAGTCCGGAATCATCTCCACTACACACCACAGCTGCCCCAGAGCCTTCAAACTCATATCAGGACTCAGATCAACCAATAATTACTCCAACTCCTCTAGCTCATGAGAGGAAGTGGACGAGAGCACATCCTGTTGAACAGATAATAGGTGATCCAAGTCAAGGTGTGCGAACAAGATCAGCAACAACAAATGAATGTCACTATGCATGCTTTCTAAGCAAGAATGAACCGTCCAATGTCTCAGAGGCACTCGCTGATCCAGATTGGGTGATTGCCATGCAAGATGAGCTCAATCAGTTTGACAGACTAGATGTGTGGACACTCGTGCCTAAACCCCCTCAGAAAACCATCATTGGCACTAAATGGGTGTTCAAGAACAAGAAGGACGAAGAAGGCATAGTGATATGCAACAAGGCACGACTGGTCGCTAAAGGATATAATCAGCAAGAGGGCATAGACTATGATGAAACATTTGCACCCGTAGCAAGAATTGAAGCAATCCGCCTTTTTCTTGCGTACGCGACCCACAAGAACTTTACTGTCTTTCAAATGGACGTCAAGACTGCCTTTCTGAATGGAGTCTTGGAAGAAGAAGTCTATGTCGCTCAGCCCGAAGGATTCGTAGATCCCAGATATCCCGACCATGTGTACAAACTAAAGAAAGCTCTGTATGGGTTAAAACAGGCACCAAGAGCTTGGTATGATGCATTAACCGAATTTCTGGTTGATTCAGGTTTCTCAAAAGGGAAGATTGATACCACACTTTTCATCAAGCGACAGAAGTCTGACATCATCCTGATTCAGATCTATGTTGATGACATTATCTTCGCCTCCTCAAATCCACGCCTGTGCAAACACTTTGAGAAACTGATGAAAACCAAGTTCGAAATGAGCATGATGGGCGAACTAAATTTCTTTCTAGGCCTGCAAGTAAGACAACTCTCTGACGGCATTTTCATCAATCAGTCAAAGTACATTCTGGAAATGCTTAAGAGATTCAACGTTGACGGCAAATCTTCCATGACGACCCCCATGTCCCCAAACAACAAACTGGACTCAGACCCCTCCGGGAAGTCAGTTGATGCTACAAACTACAGGGCCATCATTGGATCTTTGCTATATCTCACATCAAACAGGCCTGACATTGTTTTCTCCACATGCTTATGTGCACGCTTTCAGGCAAATCCGAAGGAATCCCATCTGACCGTTGTTCGAAGAATTCTGAGATACCTCAAAGGCACTGTGAATCTAGGCCTTTGGTATCCCAAGCACTCAGGTTTTGACCTAGTCGGATACTCAGATGCTGACTTTGCTGGTTGCCGGATGGACCGCAAAAGCACATCGGGGGCAGTCCAATTCTTGGGCGATAAGTTAGTCTGCTGGTCTTCCAAGAATCAGAACTGTGTGTCAACATCTACGGCCGAGGCAGAATACGTCGCGGCTGCTAGCTGTTGTTCACAAATATTATGGATGAAGACCCAGCTAAAGGACTACGGTTACACACTCCGCCATATCCCGATCTACAGTGACTCACAAAGCGCCATAGCCATCACCAGCAACCCGATTCATCACTCCCGCACCAAACACATCGACCTGCGCTATCATTTCATCAAGGATCATGTGGAAAAAGGAGACATTGACATGTATTTTGTAAGCTCAGAGCTTCAACTGGCTGACTTGTTCACTAAGGCATTGGATGAAAAACGATTCCAGTTCCTAGTCTCCAAGTTGGGCATGTTGAACCTCGAGCCCGTTTAATTATGTCTCCACTGATCTAAAAAGTGTGTGTGTGTGTGAGACTTGTAAAAAGTGTGTGTGTGGGATTTGTAAATAGTGTGTGTGCGTTGCATGTGTTGAGGGGGAGAAAACCAGAAAAATAACAAAAATAGTGTGTGTGCGTTGCATGTGTTGAGTGGGTGAAAAATAAAAAAGAACAAAAATAGTGTGTGTACGTTGCATCTGTACATATTGTTCGTTGCATTTTTTTGAGGGGGAGAAAATTTTCACTATTTGAGGGGGAGCTAATTTTCACTGATTAAGGGGGAGCTCTCTATTTTTTTACTGTTTGGACCTCGAAAATCTTTTAAAAGGGCACTGTGTGCCAGCCCAATCATTCGGGCTCAATTGTTACGGAGGAGGTCCAAAAATTTTTCTCGCGTATATAAGTCCAAATTAAAAACCCTTCGCTCCATTCTCTATTTTCTCGAAGGCCAAAAACTTTTTCGCAAAGGCAGAGCTCTCAGACCTTTCTTATTCTTCCCAACCTTACGATCTCGCAATCCCCTTCTCTCTTTTCTTCTTCTCGACATTCCTAAGAAGGTAGTTTCTCTTTGCTTGCGTTCAAAACCCAAAAGCGATCGATCGATCTCGAAAACCCGAAAACGAATGTTTGATTTCGCGAAAAACCCTTGGAATTTCTCAAAATCATAATCAAATTAGCTTGTTTTTGTTTGAATGTATGTCGCAATCTTATTGTTTTCATGTTTACTATATCTGTTTATGCTTTTGCAGGTGGTTTAAATCTCTTCGAAATCGTCGGTTCATCTTCTCGAAATCAAGATCTCGAGATGGGCATCTCGACATCTTGATCTCGAGATTTGAATCTCGAAATCGAGATCTCGAGATCTTCATCTCGACATCTTGATCTCGAGATTTGAATCTCGAAATCAAGATCTCGAGATCTTCATCTCGACATCTTGATCTCGAGATTTGAATCTCGAAATCAAGATCTCGAGATCTGCATCTCGACATCTTGATCTCGAGATTTGAATCTCGAAATCAAGATCTCGAGATCTTCATCTCGACATCTTGATCTCGAGATTTGAATCTCGAAATCAAGATCTCGAGATCTGCATCTCGACATCTTGATCTCGAGATTTGGATCTCGAAATCAAGATCTCGAGATCTGCATCTCGACATCTTGATCTCGAGTTCAGATTTCGAGATTTAGCAATTTTTTTTCAAAACTCCACCTGCATAAACTTATCTGACAACTGCAAATCAAACTCTTTCAATCAAATCAAACAGTTGAACTTCATGTGCTGACCCCCTGCTTCTACAGTTTAAAATGGCAGGAAACACTCAAACACAGATTGACGACGCCATCTACCCTAAGGGCAAGTGGATCAAGGTGCTGGACAACAACTTCCAGCTAGACCTCACCGTCTTCAAGTGCCAGAACCCGATCATTCCGGCCATAATGAAAGGTCACTATCTCTGGCTTGCACTTCACAACGCCAAACCAGTGCCAGAGATATACCTACAACAATTTTGGGGTCACATGCACACGGATTCATTGAAGGATCGTTCCAAGATCAAGACCAAGTTGAACGGCATGCGGGTGATTCTGACACCATCCACTCTACGGACTACTCTATCGCTGCCGATACATGACGAATACGATGCACTGCCGTCCATCCCAGATCTATTGAAAGACGTGGCGTCCCTAGGCTACACCTCATTACTGCCACAACTCTCCAACTTTAACGGAGCATATCTTCACCATCCGTGGAAAAATCTATTTGGGCTGGTGAACAAGTGCCTGTCGCCTAAGCATGCCGGCTTCGACAAGTGCAACAAGCAAATATTGCTGGTCTTTCATGGCATCGCGTTCAACAAGAACTACGATCTGGCTCAACTCTTCTACTCAGAGCTAATGGACCTGGTCAAGGCCAAAGAAAAGAATAGTCCAGGTACCATTCTGTACGCTAGGTGGCTTGGGTTGATCATCAACGACCTCATGGCAGAGCATTCAACAATCCCAAAACGCAACTCCGATCCACATTTCAAAGCCCCAAAGCTGCAATACTTCAAAGCGGACAAAAACCCGACCTATGGTCTGAGGATTCCTGAGTTTCTGCTCAACCTTGTGAGGTCTTCAAACCCAGCTATTCAGCAATACAAGGAAGCAATCGAGAAGACCGTCCCTATGGTTCAGCAAAACCCAGCTGGACCTACCCAAGGGACAAAACCGAGTGTTGGTAAGGGTCCCAAGAGAGCCCAAAAGCCACAGAAACCAGTGGCCGGTTTGCCCAATGAAGGGAAGTCTGACGACTCTCTAGAGACGAGTCAGGCGGCTGAGGGCACCGAAAAAGACGCTGAGGAAACGGCCAATGAATCGTCTAGTGAAGCCCAAACAAACACTGACGACAAGGCTTCCGAGAGCGTGGGCACGGAGAGTGAAAAATCTGACTCGGATGATGACGATGATGACAACGATAGTGATGATGTGGAGCTCACATATGCACTGATCAGAAAAGGGAAGCTGCCCGTCGAATCTCCGAAGAAGAGAAGAATTAATGTTGAAGACGCAGCACCAATCATAGCTCGCAGACCTCAAGTCTTCACCATAAAAGAAAAAGCTAAACCAAAAGCTGATCCGAGCGAGACTAATTGCTCCAAGGATGATTACGACGAGGCAGCTCACTCCATCAAGACATCAATCAACCAGGAAGAAGTTGTCATCCGAGAGACCAGGGCTAAGGTCAAAAATGACAAGGCTGCTAAGGCCAAGCCCCAGCCCCGAGCTAAAAAGAGTCTGTTTGACAAGGCAGACGAGCACATCTTTGCGGGCTGCGACTCCTTTATCCAGATAAGCCGAGCCGAATCCCTAAGCACAGGAGCCGATCTTTTCGGTTCCCGGGTAGAAGTCGCAGCATCTGGCTCAACTGCGCATGCACAGCCCTCTCCCAGCCACTCAATTGCCTCTCAAAAGGCCATTGTTTCAAAAGAACGGGACTCAACCCCCTCGCTGGTTCCTTCTGAATCAGTTGAGCATACAATTGACCTATCTCCCGAGGTCAAAACCCCTTCTTCTCTCACATCGAGTCTAGGTGTCACATTTCCCACGTTTTCTTCCTTTTCTAGGACACCTACACTATTCACTGCACATACAGGTGCACTCACCCTGAACGCAACAACCAGAGCGCAAGTTATTGACGGTTGGAAGCCCTGCTACGCTCATAATGATTCCATCATTAAATGCAGGCCACACATCAGCAATCTTCACTGATGCTGTGTCAACAGTTACAACCCCCGTAACTGGTCACCCTACCTTTGAAGACGTCAACGTTCTACTAAATCGCTTCCTGGATTCCACCATTAAGCCATGGGTGCAAGATGCAATGACCGCTCTAGCACAGGAATTTAGGACCACCCAATCGGTTCGGTCTGAACAGACACCACCCCAACCTTCCCCTGAACAATTCATCTCCCATACACAACCCATATCCTCCACCCCTCTATCCCACCAATCCATAAACCAAATTCTCATACCTTCTATTTCTCGGGGAACCCAGAATACAGAACCAGTATTCTCCCCACACCCGACCACACCCTCCATCGATCTCTCCTCCCTATCCTTTGACATACTAGCTTCGGCTCTGCTGAATAACCTCTTAAATACCCCAGAAGACAACCTCACTCTTCATCAGCAAGCCATACTAGAAGCTCTTCTTTCCTCACCCGAAACCAAGAGTACTTGCAAGGAGAGTCTTCGTGGTCGCAAACGTTCCCATGAGGACCCCGATGATTCGGATCCTCATGAGGGGGAGAACAAGCGACCTCGATCACTTGAGCAAACTGCTCTACCAAGCCAAACTCCACAGCCAATTCAACTTGAAACCTCAACAAATCAACAGCCACCATCCACAGCCAAACTATCTAGCATGGTCGAGCTAGAAATAACATCCCGAGGCGTATCTCCCAGAGATACCAACCGAGGAGGGGATGGAAGTCCTGATGATGTTACCACTGGTACATCTTCTCCATCAGGCCATCAGTTGGAACCCAGTTCTAAGCTGATGTCAACGGGCAATCCTAGTGAACCCGGTAGTGCTACACAGGAACAATCACCGCCTGAACAAAAAACTCCATATATTTCCCCAGGCAAAGACATCCATGATGCACTGGAAGAGGCGGTGATATACGACAAATGGCCAAGAAAATGGACAGAATGGGATGATCTTCGGGTTGAAGCCGAGGAAGAGGACATGCAAAGAAACTGGTGACTACGAGAGCTGATCAACAAATGCTCTGAAGATATTATACGGCTCGAGGACGATGAACGCAAGGAAGGGGTGAATTACAAGGAATCCCAGAAGACTCTTGAATCAGTCGTAAGACAAACAGCGGGAAGACTTCCCAAGACAGAGAAACCCTGGGATAATGTTCGTATCAAAGCCCCCTTCCAAGAAGAAATCAGAGAGCATATCTGGCGTAGACCAGACAAAGTCAAGCCACTGAACGAACTGAAGCTAAGAGGCCTTACTCACTTGAAAGGAAAGCAGGCTGGAGGTCATCTGCATATGTTGCTGCAAAGGTCAACCGGTACACAGAGAGAACTAATGGAACAAGATCTGAAGTCGAATATTCTCCCGATTCATCAAATTCTACAAGTGAAGGCTGAAGACTATCATGGAGTAACATTCTACACTTACAGACTTCAACGCACCGATGGGAGCGAATTCACTTGTCAAGAGAACGACTTCATCATGCTGAAACCGGATGACATCTACCAAATGCTCATGGCCTACAGATACCTTCCAGTCAGGCAGAGCATAGTATACAGCGAATGCCTCGCAGCTATCAAGAGATTCATGCTTAGACAGATCCGAGTACACTCTTCACATGACCTACAGATGGCTATTGAATGCAATCTGAAGAAGACAAATCTGACAAAGCCAAGACTGTATGGTCCAGAACTTGAAGATTTCCCAGCCTACCACATCTTCTTCACACCGCCAGCAGTCACCTATCTGAACCACAAGAACAAAAAGCGTCTGATGGTAGTCAGTGAAATCGAGAAGTACTGTGACGGAACACTGAAGATAATCAGAGAGCAGATTCTACAGATGAAGGCAAAGCTAGAGGAAAATCTTCAAGAGGCATCGTCTTATGTTCAAAAGGAACACTCTACTGTAGAGACAATTTTAAAGGCCATTGACGATCGCCTCGAAAAGAGAAATGTGCTGAGGCAGTATGAACATGCACTTGGTTTGAGGAAGCACTACTTCAAATCACAGAAGCAATAAGAGAATGACACTTGATCACAAAGGGGGAGATTGTTGGAGATATTTAATTGTGAATCAAGTTGGTCATAGATTAGCTTTATATTTAATCCTTGTATTTAAATAGTGCATAAATTAGATAGAAATCAGGCCAAATGTTAGGCCCATTTAAACAGGCCAAAAGCCTGGTACGCCTAACCTAAACCTCGCCTATAAAAAGGGAGCCGAGGTTTAGGAAAAGGCTGAACGTCGTACTTATTATTCATAGCCTTACGCTTATTATTCTGCTGTACGTTCCATGGTTTATCAAAGAAGGTTTTACGGTGATTCATTCTGTGTTCATCTTTACGTTTAATCTTCCTTGTTAGATCGATTATTCATTGCTGTTACAGAAACAAGGACTAACAATATATTTTTTTGTTTTTTGATTTTTATGAGATAAAATAAACAGAAAAATAATTGTATTTCCCCGGCAACGGCGCCAAATTTGACGAGCACTTTGTCACGGTGCGTCAAAATAATTTTCAATACTAACACTTATACGTAGTATAGCGTAGTAGAGTTCGTATCCACAGGGAAAGGAATGATTCTCTTTTTATGAAACTAGTAATTAAAAAGGGGGGTTTTGGTTTTGAGTGATTTAATTCAATTAAGAAACTAAGATGAACAACCTATATGCGTTTAATTCAAGAATAAAAGGGACTTGGCTTTGCTACTTTCCACTTGTTGATATATTTTAGTCGATCCTTGTTATATCTATAACTTATCCCCTCTCGAATACTCAATCGAGGAGTATCTCCAATTCATCGAGGGTAGTTATTAACAACGACCGTTCATTAATAACCCTTACTATTAATCAAATATAGAACAACGCCGTATATCGATATAATAGTAGCATTCAATCTTTTTAACTCCTTGATGAAATCAATTGAGATTGATAACCTTAACACAATGGTTTCGGTTTAACCAACAAAATTGATACCTCTTAAGTTTATTAACCACGACCGTGCATTAATAAACCGAAGTTACTTACTTATGAAACCACCAAAGATTAACCATCGGTTCGTTGATCGTTTCTAGTAGTAATTAATGTCGGAACGTTAACTAATCCTCACTTAGCAACCCTCCAACATTAATATAGAATGAGATTAAGGGAAGAACTAATAATCAAGAGAAGAAGTTAAGAAAATAACTCACAACTTTAATAATCAACAAGCTTCAAGAGCAAAACCAAGAATGGAAGTTTAGCTCCTCATTTGGAGACTAAACATAGCTAGAAAAATATAAAGAAATGCTATTCTAAACTGAGCTTAAGAGTATGGAAGAAGGAATGTTTTTATTGTGAAGGAAAGGGGTGTATTTATAGGCTTTTGGGAGCTGCAGGGGCTGATACCCGACCGGGTATATAGGATACCCGATCGGGTATCTTAGGAAATTTCCCGGAAAGCCACATTTCTGGACATACCCGGTCGGGTATGTCGGTTTACCCGATCGGGTATGTGACAAATCTTTACGAAAATTTGCTTCCACGATCCTTTGTTCCCAGATTTGATTTGGACAACCGAATCAAGCAAATACCCGATCGGGTATTGCCTATACCCGACCGGGTATAAGAGTAATTTTTCCAAATCGAAATCTTTCTTGTCTCCTTGCACTTTCCTTGATCTTTTGAGGTCCAATCTTGATCCCTTGGATGAGCTTTGACCTGTTTAGCTCAGAATAGTCCTAATCTAAACAAATTACAAATAATTATGAAAACAAAGTATTACACCAAAAATGTGTAATTTCCACAACTAGAACTAATAAAAACTAGTTAAAATACAAACATACATGATAGGAAATTCACACCATCAGATCCACCACTTTCTTGAGGTCTTTGGAACGCCTTTCCCCCGAGGCGGTCTTGGACCCCTTGGCGGTCTTGCACCCCTCCGAGCCTCTCTAGGGCGGAGGTCCGGGGCCTTTCTTTGTTTGCACCATGGCGGTCCCGGGATTGGACTTCCTGAGAGGCGGTGTCTTGGGCCACGACCTCCTCGTTGTTCCCTAGCCGAAAGATAGGGTTCATGAATGGGAGGGGAGGAGGGGGAGGAATGTCGTTCTCCCCGACCTGTGGCTGAAGGGGTACCAGAGTGCCGAAGGTATCTGGGTTTTGAGTGAGTGTTTGGATGAAGGCGGAGAACGCCGATTGCACGTCAATAGTGAGAACTGGAGGGCTCACTTGGTTTTCGCTCCGATCCTTTTTCCTAGCCTCGATGCCAAGGCGGGTATCAGGGGCATTTTGTTGGAGCTAAAGGCGTAGGTCGACAGCCGTCTGGTCCAACCCGACAATGACGCCGCCCTCGGAAGCCCTGTTAGAGGCTTTGGGGACGTCAACTTCGCCGAGGGCCATGTTCCTGTCCTCAACGTTCTTGGAGTTGGCACGAGTTGTTCTCACCATTTTGGTAGGTGTTTTGTGTTTAGCGAAGGGAAGGGGAGGGTTTCTTACTTGATTGTTTGACCTCTCAACGATAGCACCAAATGATGGATAAGTGTACCCGGTGGGTAGTTTATCCGAGGGATTACTGCAGGAGTAACTTGAGAGAAGTCAGAGCAAAAGTATAGGGAGAGAGTGTATATTGATAATGAATGTTGTGTACTGAGCCTTGATTACAAATGGGGAAAAGGGGTGCTATTTATAGTAGCAATAAATGCCAGGTAAGGACGCATGTCATCATTCTGGTGGTCGAGGGGTCACCTCAACCGCGTGGCACTGGCACTCGCATGTGGCCGCATTTAATGCGGTGGTTGGATGCGACGTTTGTACTTGGTACGTTGATCCAGCGCATGTGGAGCGGAGATCCTATCAAGGAAGATGCCTTCGGCTGTAGGTGGCAGGCCGAAGGCTCTTCATCCCGGGGGCCTCCAGGTGCCGAGAGCTCTAGGTGCCCAGGGCTACTATTTTTGCCGTTTTCTCCCAGTAACTTCGAGCGCTTAAAAGCAGTTGTACTGTAATTTATGAGCCTTCGGTCATGGGGGCCGAAGGCACCCAAATGTACGTCGTGGGCTGTTTGGAACTTGGGGCACTGTGATTTGGGCCTGCTATGCTTCCTGGGCCTATTGGGCCTGCATTACAATAGTGGGAGTCTATGGACCGGGGGTTCCTGGGCCATATACTCCATCACATGTCTTAATATAGCACTTTGTTGATTCAAACTTTTTCGGTGTGAGATTCTCACACCCCTCCTCATGACCAGACGCTTTGTCTGGATCGTGTCGTCGGTCATTTTTTCGTCGGTTCGTCATTGTCATTTTTTTAATTGTGTCGTCATTTTTCATAAGGGGGCCCACACCATGGTTATGGATCGGTTTGTCTCTCATACCATGTTAAGACACGAAGTTCCATCCTGAAAGATCAACCTGATAGGAGGATTAACTCATGTCTTAATATAGCACTTTGTTGATTCAAACTTTTCTGATGTGGGATTCTAACTGTGATTCTAACAAGTTCAAATAAAAAAATATCAGTTGAAGATTTTTGCGTCCAAATTTTTTACCGATGTAAATCCAAGTGCTAAAATTATGATCTCATTGTTAAAATATTTTTTTCAAACATATCCCTGTTACTTTTTCTATATTTTATTAATGAAATATATTTTAAATATAATCTTTTCATAAATCAGTTGAATTAGTCAATACAATCACTATTGTCAAATCTTCATAAGTTTATCAGAATCAATCGATTCAAATGACTTCAGTGTTACCAAAGAGGTTGTTAATAAAAAGCATTAGAGCTCATACTTTATACTCCGTATAAAAAATTTTGCAAATAAATAAAGCACCGGATGTGAAAATCGATCTTCGGTTTTTAGAGTTTCATACCACGTGTGTCGTTAAAACAAGTATGTATCCATTATATTGCCGTCAGTTTTTATTGAGTTTTTTCCGGAATAATGCTAATTAAATAAATTATTCTCGAAATACTGCCGGGTTAAGAATAATTCCCAAAATACTGCTGGAATTAACCACGGTTAAGGAAAGCCGCCACTCCAAGTGGCGGCTCTTGTATTTCACGTTTTGTTCTTACCCACAACCTTCCACTTGGAAAAACTATTTTCATTCTATTTCACGTTTTTCTTGGACAAAGTAATTAGTTCCATCAATGCATCGGAAGGAGAAATCAAATTAGTCGATGAAGACATATCTGGAGTGATTGTCGAAGGAGAAAAATCTTGAATATCAGCTTGAAAAAGTACACAGAGATCGAAAAATCATGATTGTTACCAACTCTATCAAGACCTGACAACAAATCTGGTACCATTTTTATTGACTCTAAAAAATATTTCAACAAATTAATGACTTTGAATAATCCTGCTAAGAAATCTCTGAAAGCTGATTGATTTCTTCCTTCAGGACAAAAATAGAGTCAATCACTCAATCCCTTTCTAATTATTACGGATTATTATTGTTTTTTCTTGTTCTTGCATTGGTGGTTTGTCTGTTTTTTTATTTAAACTCGGGATTTTTATCTGGTTGAACTCGCTTTGAATATCATTTTTCTAACATTCTATGTAAATAAAAAATAAATTAAATAATACTTCCTCCGTTCCTTTGGAATTGCAACAGTTCATTTTTCATGTTTGCCAACACACAAGTTTGACCATTAATTTCTTCCGTTCCTTATTACAGTATTAAAAAAAATTAAAAAAATCAGTTTTTGAAAATTTAGGATGAGAAAAATTTAACAATATTTTTAAAAATTTAATTTATAATAAATTAATAAATAAAATATAATCAAAGTAGAATTAATGAATAGTGCAAACAGTTCAATATTGCATCATCGTTAATTTTAATAGTTCAAAGAGAACGGATGTAATATTGTGTACATAACTATATATACCCCTGTATTAGTGAATTTAGTAGTTAGTACCGGGTGGGATTTTATATAAAAGCATCATCGTTAATTTTAATAATTTTAAAAAGTCATCCTTCACATTTAATTACAATTATATAATTGTGGACATATAAAAATTACTGGGCCAACTATGATAGCTTTTGAGCTCTTAAAAGCTACCGGGCTATATTATTTGCTAGTAGGCCACTGTCAGATTCTGTTGGGCCGCTCGTGATGGTTGTTGGGTTTTATAAAAATATTAATATGGACCCATTCGGATAAAATTTAATAATTGAATTAATTTGGGTCATTTAAATATCCAATTAATTTAATCTTTAAAAGAATGGACCGGTCCTATTTTGAGCCCATTATTAAATAGTAGCCCGATGAATAAGAGACATGATCCAATTGATAAAGATAACAATGAATATGGTTAAGAAATCCATCCGTATGCATGGAAAATGGCTGCGAACCTTGTTAAAAAAGCTGTCCAGATACATCAAACAAGCGCTGATTTTTCTAGCTATTAAATGTAAGCAAATAGAGTCCAAAGCCCATTTTAATTAGGGCCCATGAGATATGGACGAATTTGACAACCCTAAAAGCATATTTTCACCCCATCCACACGTATAAATAGAGGTCTCAGTTGAGAGGAAAAGGAGGAGAATTTTCAGACGAAGAAACGTTGCAGAAAAGCTCTCAAGAACTCCCGAAACGCTCTGAACGATTCCGAAGAAGAGGAATAGATCAAGCCACGAATTTTATTAAGAGTATACGAATAATCCTTCGTGATTTCGTCGATTCTTAATAAAATAAATCCAAAAGTTGAAGACCGTTCGAAGATCTGAAGAACGAAGCTTGAAGATTCGAAGATCTGAAGAACAAGACTTTGAAGATTCGAAGATATGAAGAACAAATCTTTGAAGATTTGAAGATACTCATATGAAGATTGAATTGAAATTCAATTGAAGATCAAGCCATATATCCCGGGAGGCCCTTAAACAAAAGATCAAGCCATAAAACGGCCCTTTTGTTGAAGATCAAGCCATTTGAAAACCGGAGGCCCTTCAAGTTGAATTCTCAATTCAAGAAGATTTGAAGATCTGACAAACGAAGATTCGAAGATTCAAAGATCTCAAGAACGAAGATTTGAAGATCTGAAGAACGTTTGAAGGATTAAAGATTTAATTTTGAATTAATTTCTTTAATTATATTTATGTCAAATTGCAAGTGAAGAATCAGAGGATTCATATTTAGAGATTGTACCCAATATTCTCACATATTATTATTTGCGATCAATTTTAAGTAAATACTTAAAATTTGTTTCACAAATTTTTGGCACGCCCGGTGGGACAACTCTACCTCTCATCTCTTCACTTTTGAAAACGAACCCATGGCATCAAACAAGCCCGTGTTCACTCTAAATTCTAAAGCATCATCAAGCTCGAATCAAAATATGCAAGGCCCTATCACTAGGAGCCGTTCAAGAATCATGATTGCGCAGTCATCTTCGAGAACTACTCCCGGTGCGATGGATAGATTTCAAATTGCGCAAGAGATGGTCCCGAAGCTTTCTTCACCCATACATGAAGTTACTTCCCCAAAATGGACAAGTAGTGGTGAAAGCTCATCATCTAGGTCAGACTCTACTTCCCCGTCAACCTCTCCACGAAGAACTACTCCGCAGTGGTCAAATGTCTACACTGTGATGCCCACTATGATGACAAGCACGACATCTATGGAAGAACAAATCGCCCATTTAACTAAGGTCATCGAGGGAATGAGCATGTTCATGCAAACTCAAGATCAGAAGTTGAATGATCTGAACAACAAAGTAGAAAGCTTGAAAGGTGAGTCAAGTCATGCTCGTGAGAAGGACCCTGAGGTGCATGAAGACAATGATTTTCACCAAGAGAATTCGAAGAAGAATATCTCAACCTCTGGGGGCATGATCCCGATTGATCAACTCAAAGATCTCATCATGGGAACCATAAAGGGGAACATAGAAGGAAGTCAATCTACTCACTCCTATGTTAAGCCATATATACTCAAAGGATCGAGGATCTGAAAATGCCCATTGGTTACCAGCCGTCGAAGTTCGTCCAGTTTGATGGGAAAGGAAATCCAAGACAACATGTTGCCCATTTTGTGGAGACTTGCAACAATGCGGGAACAAGTGGGGATCACCTCGTCAAGCAGTTCGTGCGCTCCCTTAAAGCAAATGCATTTGACTGGTATACTGACCTAGAACCAGGTTCCATTGACAGCTGGCAAGATATGGAACGTGAGTTCTTAAACCGTTTCTACAACACAAGGAGGGTGGTGAGCTTGCTTGAGTTGACAACTACTCGCCAACGGAAAGATGAGCCTGTCATAGCTTACATAGAGCGTTGGAGAGATCTTGCTCTAAACTGCAAAGATCGAATCTCTACAAGTTCCGCTATCGATATGTGCATTGAAGGAATGCATTGGGAATTGTGCTACATTCTCAAAGGAGTCAATCCAAATACTTTCGACGAGCTAGCAAGCAAAGCTCGTAACATGGAGTTAAGCATTGCAAGTAGTGGAAAGAAAGTCATGGGTATGTATCCCATAAACAATGTTGTTGAAAAACAAGATACCAAGAATGAGGGCATACCCTTTTCTAATATTGAAAATAAAGAAGCAATGGTCGTGAAGGCTGCGCCTGTTAAGATCTTCACTCAAAATTCAAAGAAAGTTTCTAGGGTTGATTCGGAGGCGTCGAAACGTGTTAAACCATTTCTAGAAGAGATGCTAGAAAAGAAATACCCCTTCTTAGACTCTGACGTTCCTCCCATGTTTGAGGAACTGATGAGATTGAAGCTTATTGATTTACCCGAGTCCAAACGACCCGAGGAAGCTACAAAGATAGATGACCCCAATTACTGCAAGTACCATCGACTTTTAAGCCACTCCACTGAGAAGTATTGGGTGCTTAAAGATAAAATTATGGCCCTGGCTCGTCAAGGAAAGATTGAGCTCGTCGATTCCGCTGCAAGCACAAACCAAATTGCCATCACTTTTGGTAAGATTTCTCCATTTATGGTTAAAGGCAACTCGAAAGAAGAGAGTAAGAGCTCTCACAATCGAAGACTTCCTTTTACTATCAAAGTGATGGGAAACTACTCTCGCATGAGAGATGAAGAAAATTATGGCGAAGAAGGTCCATGGATCTTAGTAGATCGAGATAAACAAAATAAGAGGCAAAAATTGATCCTACCCCCAGTGAAGGGAGTAAAGAAATGGGTCAAGAAAAGGGAGGTTTATAAACTCAAGCTAAAGAAGGAAAGAAAGACTAGTGTTTGTTCCAAGGTTGAGCGAAGGTCAGTTACTCTAGACAATTATATGCCAAAGGATTTCAAGAACAAGGTGAATCAAACTTCAAGTTCCTGCCTTGGCACTCATGAAAAAGAAGTTGAGAGCTCAAGCAAATGCTCATCACCAACTTCAGCTAAGAAAGAAGATGTAAAAACACAGAACTCTACCTCGTATGCTACTGGTATTGTCTTTAAAGACGAAGATCTTATGTTGGGTGCCACACCCCATAATCGCCCACTTTTTGTTGAGGGATATACTTGTGGACAAAGATTCAAAAGAATCATGATTGACCAAGGATCCGCTGTTAACATTTTGACAGTTCAGGCTATGAAAGACCTTGGAATATCAATTGATGAACTCTCCCAAAACCGCTTGATGATTAAGGCTTCAATCAAGAGGGGCAAAGGGCAATTGGAATGATACGCCTTGATTTGGTCATCGGCAAGCTGAAGGCAAGCACTCTATGTCATGTCATTGATGCCAAAGCTTCATATAATCTTCTGTTAGGACGCCCATGGATCCATGAAAATGGTGTAATTCCGTCAACTTTGCACCAATGCTTCATGTATGAAGACAACGGTGTTGTGAAGAAGGTGTTGGCTGATGAGACTCCATTCACAGAAGCTGAGTCCTATTTTGCAGATGCAAAGTTATACTTCAAGGCTAAAGTCTCTAAAGATGAGGATGCTCGAAAAGATGATGTGTATCGCCCTTTGACTAAGCCTAAATTGAAAGAAAAGCTTGTTGAAGGTGTGGAGAGGCTCACATTCCCTCTTGCACAGATTGAGATATCGAAACCTTCTCAAAAGGCTCCTAAAGAGGAAGCTGAAAAAAATGTGAGTCTGAGCTGCCTAACACACGTACGAAAGAAGGATTTGACCCAAACACATACAAGTTCCTGGCCAAAGCCGGTTATAATCATAACGAACAAAAGTTAGGGAAGCTCATTCCAGAAGCTGGTGGAGAAGGAACACCGAAGCAAATCAACTTAAGAGACCACATTGGATTGGGCTATGTTCAACCTAAACCTATAAAAATCCTCATAAATAGGGCCGCAATACATCATATCAGTGCTGATGAGGAAGATGAAATAACTTCTAAGCCAAAGTACTCCGTCTTTGATAGGATTGGGGGGGGGGGGGGGGGGCAAGATCAAGACCCGCCATCTTTGACAGAATGACGTCGAAACCAAAGAAGATCGTGAAGAAGACTTTACAAGAATGGCTTGAAACGAGCCCGATGATGTTGAAACACGCTGAAGGCCTATGCATGGGACAAAACTTCTGAAGAAAGTCTGTTAATGAAAGATTGGGATTGAAGCATGAACGCAACAAATTTGCTAAAGTTCCTCTCGAAAAGAAAAGTCTTAATGAGTATAAAAGCTTTATCCCATCTCGTATAAAACGAAAACCCGATGTGAAAGTAACATATGGAAGTGCATTCAAAGTCAAGCCAGTGACCATTGTGCACACTCATGGTCAATATGAAGACCAATATGTGAACTCCTGCATTATCAACTTTGAGGATACAGTACCCTTCATGTCAGGGTATGCATATGACCAAACAAAATGTTAAATGGCTTAAACCACCAATGATGTTGTAAGTGGCTAAACTGCTAAAACATCTCATTTTGTCTATGGGTGAGCATAATCATAGATACTCTTGGCTCACGAGAGTTTAAAATGTGTTCGGCAAGCTCCTGGCCCGCATGAGTTAAAATTGTGTACGGTCCTCTCCTTTAGATTACCAATTCAAATGGTACTTATGAACTACGTTTGACTTGATCTCCTTCATAGGAGTACGTAGGCAGCTCAAAAGTTTCATTTTTGAGTTCAGTTATAACAAAACAAAACCCAATTAAGTTTTTAGCCAAAGGGATTACGAAAAACAAAGTCATACCAAGATGTGAAGGTTCTTAAGTCTGCGCCTCGCCTGAAATTGATTGAGTTAAGCTTCGAACATCATCTTCTATCAGCGCCGCTCTAACCTTCAAACCGTTGAAGTGGTCGTCATTCAAACTGGCTAAGTGGCTAGCCTTCATAAACGGCAAAATGGCCGCCCTTCATAAATGGCATCAGCAGAGCTTTGTATTCACAGGCAAACGGACTAATTCTTTAGATCGGTGCCACTAACCCAACGAAGGGACCCAAGCGACACCGATGACCGACAATCGGCCTAATTCTTTATTTCGGTGCCACTAGCTCAACGAAGGGCCCCAAGCGACACTGATGACCGGCAATCAGCCTAATTCTTTAGATCGGTGCCACTAACCCAACGAAGGGCCCCAAGTGACATTGATGACCGACAATCGGCCTAATTCTTTATATCGGTGCCACTAGCTCAACGAAGGGCCCCAAGCGACACCGATGACCGGCAATCGGCCTAATTCTTTAAATCGGTGCCACTAGCCCAACGAAGGGCCCCAAGCGACAATGACGGTCGGAAATTGGCCTAATTCTTTAGATCAATATCACTAGCCCAACAAAGGGCCCCAAGCGACACTGATGACCGGCAATCGGACCAATTCTTTAGATCGGTGTCACTAACCCAACGAAGGGCCCCAAGCGACACCGATGATCGGCAATAGACCTATTCTTTTATATCGGTGTCACTAGCCCAACGAAGGGCCCTAAGCGACACCGACGGTCGGAAATCGGCCTAATTCTTTAGATCAGTAGGGCCCCAAACAATACCGATTACTCGCAATCGCCCTAATTCTTTAGATCGATGCTACTAGTCCAACAAAAGGCCTCAAGCAGCATCGACCACTGACAATAGGCCTAACAGAAAATCTGGCCTCGATATTATTTTTGTTGAAGATAGCTCCTGTCTTCAAAAGGTGAAGAATAAACTCATAAATAGGTCGGCCCAACAAATAATGAAGCCCATTAAAATCAGCTCCTTCAGCAGGTTAGGTTTATCTTCCCGTGAGCTTCTTCGCACGCAGGGAAAATAGGCTTGCGAATCCTCATCCTCCAACAACATCACCTCAGCTTTCAACGACAGCAGAAGACATGGGCATCTGATCTTCCAGCGGTGGCGGCAACAATTCCGGTGATGGATAGTCTACCCGGGGGGTATATATCCGAGGGGTTATTGCAGAGAATAACTTAGAGAGAAGTCAGAGCACAAGTAAGTAAGAGAGAGAGTATATCCAGTATGAATGTCGTGGTTACAAATGGGGAAATGGGGTGCTATTTATAGTAGCAATAAATGCCGGACAGGGACACGTGTCAAACGCCCATTGGCCGAGAGGTCACCTCAACTGGTTGGCGCTGGCAGCCGCATGTGGCCGCATTTAATGCGACTGTTGGATGGGATGTCTGTACAGGGTACGGTGATCTGTACGCATGTGATGCGGAGATCATGTCGGGAGAGGTGCCCCCGGTCACAGAGGACTAGCCGAGGGCTCTTAGTGCCGAGGACCCCTGAGCGCCGAGGGCTCCAGGTGCCGAGGGCTGCTGTTTTCGCCGTTTTCTCCCAGTTCCTCTGTTTGTTCGAAATATCCACGCTGTGATAGTTTGGAGCCTTCGGCCAGGGGGCCGAAGGCACCCCTGGTGCGTATTGTGTGCTGCTTGGTACTCTGGGCGCTGTGATTTGGGCCTGCTTGAGCTTTCTGGGCCTGTTGGGCCTTTACTGGAGTAGTAGGAGTCTGTGGGCCGGGGGTTCCCGGGCCATATACTCCATCAGGAGTCCCTCACTCCTTTTGTCGAAAGGTATTTGAGGGAAAAGGAGTAATTTGTGCTTGCCCTTCAATGTTGTCCTGTCGTAATCTCTGAAGTTGGTGAGGAGTTGTTGCTTTTATGTCCCTGCCGAAGGCAGCCCCTCAGTTACCCACATGTCGGGACTTGAGGGCTTGCTTTGTCGTTTGTTGGAATTTCACTAATTTTGTAATTTAATGATTTTCCCGAGGGGGTCCTCCAGTCCCCCACTCTTTGAGGCACTTGTAAAGTGGTGAAAAGGAGTAGAGTAGTTGCGTTGCTGTTGTGGGCCGAAGGCTGACGCTTTTCGTTTCATTTTGGGGGGATGCCTCGTTAAAAACCTCATTAGGAAAAACCCTGGGGGAAAAAATCCTAATGAGGGAAAAAGAGTGCACCGAATTCCCCCAACGATGAATCGAAAATGTGAAACCTTGGTCAAAAATGGAGAATAATCGGTAATGCCGAAGGCTCTCCTTTTTCTGAGGGCTCATGTGTTGATTAACCGGAGGCTTTGTTGTTGACGTCCTGGGGGCGCCGAAGGGGAGTCCCTCAATCTGGGGATCGAGGGCGTAATGAATGTGGGCAACAGTGGAGTTGTTACCGGGGGGGTCCACTTTTTGTTGATTAGTTGGTGATGAAGATACTCGAGGGCACCCATTACTTGTGTGTTGTAGACTATCCGTCAATGAGGTATACTCCCAGGGGGCTAACCGGCCCTTACAGTGCTGAGGGGGAATCCTCGAGGGGTGGCCTGATGTGAAGCCTTGGGCTTCTAAAGGAGTGATCCCGAGGGCGATTGTTATGTACCGTGTGGGGCATAAACCGGGGGCGTCTCTGGGTAAGTGTACCCGGAGGCTCTCCTTGGTGAAGTGGAGTGAAGTAGTAAACCCGGGGGCTTCCAGAATATAGCCATTGGAAATATAGCCGTTGGAATATGTAGCGTCAGATTTATAGCCGTTGGGGGGGGGGGGGGGTACACATGGAGTGTAGCCGTTGGCTGCTCGTGGGCGGGCGTCACCGATTGGGTGAAACGACGGTGCGTAATGATGGCTTTGGCTGCTGGGAGCCCGAATCTCGGCCCAAGCCCGGATCTGGGAGCCTATAAATACCCCAAGCCAATGCCATTCCTTCTTTACGCATCCAACATCCTTAGCGAAGCTCTGCCAAAAATTCTAGAGAGAGAAACTTGATTTCCTGGTAAGGCTGGGCCTATTAGGAAACCATCAGAATACACCAATGGCTCTCCTCCCTCGGGTTAACCTTCCGAGTTCCAAGGGGATCGAGGGTCGTTTCCTGGGCACAAGATATGGTGGTCTGTAGCCTGCCTCCCCTTGGGGGATGGCGCGGAAAGCGCCTCATTTTTGAAAGTCGACCCCTCGGCGCTAGACATAGTCCGTGGCCTGTCACACCCTTGGGGTGGTGGCACGGGGAGCGTTTCGGTTTGGAAGTCGAATCCTGGGCATTTCTCGTGCCTGTCATACCCTTGGGGTGATGACGCGGATAGCGTTCCGTTTTTGAAAGTCGAATCCTGGGCATTTCTCATGCCTGTCATACCCTGGGGGTAGTGACGCGGAAAGCGTTTCAAGGAAGGGTTTTCATTTGCACACTAGTTGCAAATGGCCGGGGGCACTACGTGCCGCCGGCACCGATGGTGGCGCCTTCGGTATATGCGTCCTCGTGGGGTACGGCTTTTAGAAACAACACTTGGTGTTAGTTTCGATGTGTAGCCCCCGGTACTTGGTACAGAGGGGTCTTCTGTAGGAACACTTGGTGTTCTCTTTTGTTGTAGTTGATGGAGGTGTCTGCCCTCGGTACTTGGTACTAAAGGAAGGGTCTTCAAATGAAACACTTGGTGTTTTGATTGGAGTGTTCACCCTCGGCGTTTGGTGCCGGAGGGCCCTCGAGAGGAAACACTTGGTGTTTCCCAACAGATGTTTGGAAGTTGATAGGAGAGCATATCCCTGGCACTGGGTGCCGAGGGGTATTCTTTGAAACATTTGGTGTTTTTCTTCGTTTTGATGTTGATGATGGAGGTGTACCCTCGGCACTGGGTGCCGAAGGGAAATGAAACACTTGGTGTTTCTTGCCGTCGGTGATGGGAGTTCCCACCCTCGGTACTTGGTACCGAGGGGTCTTGTTCGAAAACACATGGTGTTTTCCTGTTGTTGTAGGTGTTGATGGTGTCCGCCCTCGGCACTTGGTGCCGGAGGGGGTTCTTCTCGTGGTGAGGCCTGGGGCCTGTAGTCAGTATGAGGGCTTGATGTCTTTGAATTTGTCTTCATTCCTCAAAAGTGGAGGCCTTGGGCCAAAGGGTAGTACATTCATTAGTTATGAGGGCTTGGCCGCTCTTACATTATTGGTAAAATTTAACTAAATGGTGTACATTCCAGTGCCTAGGGACCTCTTTCCCGTTGGGGCGTTTGAGCTTGTAAGTCCCAGGTTTGATGATGGCTGCAATGATGTAGGGGCCCTCGAATTTTGGTGCCATTTTTCCTCCCTCGGTTGGTTGGCTGGCTTCCCTCCTCCGGAGGACATAGTCCCCCACTTGAAATTCTCGGGTGCGAACTTTGGCGTCCATGTAGCTTTTGACTTGCCTTCGGTAATTTTCTGCCCGGATGAAGGCCTGCTCCCGGCGTTCTGAAATGAGGTGGAGGTCGAGGGCCATGTTGCTGTCGTTGACCTCGGGGTCATATTGGATCACCCTCCGGGTGGGAAGGGTGACTTCCGTAGGAGCTTTGGCTTCAAAACCGTAGCAGAGGGAGAAGGGTGTTTCACCTGTTGCTCACCGAGGGGTGGTGCGATAGGCCCAAAGGATGTTGTGGAGTTCTTCCACCCAGCCACCGCCCTCGGCCTCCAGCTTCTTTTTGAGGCCCTCGAGCAAGGTCCGGTTGGCATTCTCTACTTGCCCGTTGCCTTGAGGGTAGGCAACGGAGGAGAAGGTGTGTTTGATGCCCCATGCCTCCAGAAGGGCACAGAAGGGGGCTGCCTCAAATTGTGTCCCATTGTCGGAGATGATCTGCTGGGGGAAGCCAAACCTTGTGAGGATGTTCTTGAGGACGAAGTGACGGCACTTCGCCTCTGTGATGCTGGCGAGGGGTTCAGCCTCCACCCACTTGGTAAAGTAGTCGATGGCCACAATGATGTATCTGTTGTGGGAGGTACCCCTCGGCAGAGGGCCCACAAGGTCTATCCCCCATCGAGAAAAGGGGACAGATGTGCTGATGGGGGCATAGTTGACCGCTGGCCTGCCGGGGGTTTTCTGGAAATGTTGACATGCGGTGCACCTCCGGGCCAGGTCAGCACAATCTCTGGCCATGGTCGACCAGAAGTAGCCCTGGAAAATGAGCCTTCGGGACATGGAGAAGGGTCCCTGGTGAGCTGAGCAAGTGCCACTGTGCACTTCCTCCATTGCGACCTCGGCTTCATCTTGATGAAGGCACCGAAGTAGCGTGCCATTGTAAGATCGTTTGTAGAGCCTTCCATCTTCGATGGTGTAACTAGGAGCCCTCAGCTTTGCCAGTTTAGCGCGGGTCTCATTCTCAGGTAGCTGCCCTGTGGAGATGAAGGCGGTGATATCTGAGATCCAATCCTCTTGGCGTTGTTGTATGTTCATAACGGGGCTTGCATGGATACTTGAGAGGCTGAGTTCCTCAATTTTGGCAATTTTGGACATGTGCTCGGGGGAGTCGGCCGAGAGCTTAGATAATATGTCGGCCTCGGAGTTCTGAGCCCTCGGTATTTGAGTGAGAGAGTGTGCCTCAAATACCTTAAGCAACTCCTTGGCCGCTTCCTTGTACTGTTTCATTCTTCCCTCCTTGGCCTCATATTCCTCGGAGATTTGGCCAACGACCAACTTGAAGTCGCATTTGATGTGGATCTGTCGAGCCCTCATGTTGGCAGCCAGCCGAAGGCCACATAGGAGGGCCTCATATTCGGCCTCGTTGTTGGAGACTTTGAAGGAGAAGCGGATTGCGTAGTAGGCTCTGAAGCCCTCAGAAGTAATGAGGACTACCCCTCCCCCGCATGCTTTGGTCGCGGAGGAGCCGTCAGTGTAGAGGGTCCACCAGTCGTCCGAGGTAGCCGAGGGCTCCCCGTCCGTGGCTGCCCTTGCGGTACACTCCGTCACAAAGTCCGCCAGGGCTTGGCCCTTGATGGCAGGCCTCGGACGGATGTCAATGTTGTACTGGCTCAAGAAGATAGCCCATTTCACCATGCGGGAGAAGCTGGTGGGGCTCCTCATGAGGGCGCCGAGGGGTTGATGAGTGAGGACCTGAACCGGGTGAGCTTGAAAGTAGTGGCCCAATTTCTTGACAGTCCAAACGATGGCTAACACCATTTTTTCCACAAGAGAATAGCTGAGCTCGGCCTCCCTTAGGGTCTTGCTTACATAGAAGATGGCATGTTGGATGCCGTCTTCCTCCCGGATGAGCACAGAGCTGATGGCCGCCGGGCTGACTCCAAGGTAGAGATAGAGGGTTTCCCCTACCTTTGGTTTGGATAGCACAGGGGGTGAAGATAGATATCGTTTGAGCTCGTCGAAAGCCCCCTGACATTCTGGAGTCAATTGAAAGCCAGCCGTCTTCTTCATGATCTGGAAGAAGGGTAGAGACTTCTCCGCTGATTTAGATAGAAAGCGGTTGAGGGCTGCCAGGCGGCCCGTCAACCGTTGAACTTCCTTCACATTGCGTGGGGGCTCCATGTTGATGATGGCCTGGATCTTCTCGGGATTGGCCTCAATACCCATTCGGCTCACCATGTAGCCCAAGAACTTGCCCCTTTGGACGCCGAAGGTGCACTTTTTCAGGTTTAGCCGAAGGTTGAACTTTTGCATGATGGCGAAGATTTCCCGGAGGTCGTCAGCATGGCTGGAAGATTGTTTGCTCTTGACGATCATGTCGTCGACATAGGCCTCCATGGTGCGCCCTAGGACAGCTTGAAAGACCCGGGCCTCCATGATGCCCTCGGGAGTCATGAAGGCAGTTTTTTCGGCGTCTTCCTCGTGCATGAAAATTTGGTGATACCCTCGGAAGGCATCGAGGAAGGACATGATCTCACACCCTGCGGTCTCATCCACCAGTTGATCAATATTTGGTAGAGGGAATGGATCCATAGGGCACACCTTGTTAAGATCGGTGTAGTCCACGCACATGCGGAAGGTAGGGGGCTTCTGTGCGAGGACTACATTCGCTAGCCATGAGGGATATTTCACCTCCTTGATGTGCTTAGTTTGGGCCACCATCCGGTGTAAGTGGCCCCTGAGTTCTTTAGGCCGAAGACCATCACTAGGTAGCAGAAGATGCCCTCGGGAGTCATGAAGGTTGTCTTTTCGGCGTCTTCCTCATGCATGAAGATCTGATGATATCCGCGGAATGCGTCGAGGAATGACATGATTTCACACCCCGCGGTTTCATCCACAAGTTGATCGATATTGGGCAAAGGAAAAGGGTCCATAGGGCACGCCTTGTTGAGATCCGTGTAGTCCACGCACATGCGGAAGGTAGGAGGCTTCTGTGCGAGGACTACGTTCGGCAGCCATGAGGGGTATTTTACCTCCTTGATGTGCTTAATAGAGAGGAGCATGGCGACCTCCTTCTTCACAAATTCCCTCCTTTCGGCGGAGAGGGGTCTTCTTCGTTGATGTACTGCTTTTGCCGAGGGGTCCACCGAGAGGCGGTGGGTGATGACCCTTCGGCTAATTCCCGGCATGTCCTCCGGCCCCCATGCAAAGACAGTGGAGAAGGCGCGGAGGGCGTCGGTGATACCGGTCTTCAGATCTTCAGGGAGCTGGGCTCCAATCTTCACGACTCTCTCCGGCTGGGCCGGATCGAGCGCAAAGTCTTCTACGTCCTCGGCTGGTTCAGCCCTCGGCCTTTTTTCTTCTTGGTCGATGGTTCCGGTGATGGTGTCAACACGGAATTCCGTCTTACTTACTTTCTTAGTGACTTGAAGATAGCAAGCCCGAGCAATTTTCTGATTCCCCCGGGAGTAGCCAATGCCCCCCTCGGCGGGAAACTTGAGGCAGAGGTGCCTCATGGAGATGATGGCCTCGAGGTCCTCGAGGGCTGGCCGGCCGAGGATGATGTTGTGGGCGCAATCGATGTTGACGACGACGAACTCCACTTCGAGCTGGGCTCTATGGAGCCCGTCGCCGAAGATCACCGGGAGGGTTATTACCCCCTCGGAATCAATAGTATCGCCGATGAAGCCGGAAAGAGGGGTCTTCATGGGCCGAAGGGACCCCCTCTCCAGATGCAGCTCTCTGAAGGTGCTGAGGTACATTACATTGACGGAACTGCCCGTGTCAATGTAAGTTCGGTGAATGATGGTGTCGTTTATTTCAGTCCGAATCACCAAGGCATCCCTGTGAGGAGAAGAAGTAGGAGGGAGATCTGCGTTGGTGAAGGTGATGGGTTCCTCCCTCAGTCGCTTTACCGGGGGCATATGAGTGACTTCCCCCACGTAAAGCGATTGAGCCCATTTCTTTCGCTGGCTGGTGGAATCGCCCCATGTATTGCCACCGGTGATCATGAGGATGTGGCGTTTTTTCTCCTGGCAGTGGGGGTATTCCTCCTCCTCTTCTTCCAAGTTTCCGATCTCCCTCTTCTTGCCGAGGGGGATGGTATTCGGGTTCACCCAAGCGTTCACCTTCGTGTGGTGCCCTCGGGGAGGCCCCTGATGGGAGGGTCCCTCCTGCCGAGGGCTCTGAACAAATTGGGACAGGTGTCCCGCTTGTATTAATCTCTCGATGGCCGTTTTTAGCTGGTGACAGTCATCGGTCCTGTGCCCCTGATGCCGATGGAAACGGTAGTAGGGGAACTGAGGGTTGATAGCATGTACCTCCGGGGGTGCGCGAGAGTCACGCTCAACGAGGCCCCTCTCCTCGGCAAAATCAAGTATGATGCTGACGGGGTGCGTCAATGGTGTCCGGGGGCGGTCCAGGAGAATGGGATGTGCCCAAGTCTTAGGGTTGCTATTATAACCTCCTCCGGGCTTGGCTTGGCCTTGCCGAGGGCGGTCGTCAGAGGGTCCAGAAGGCTTGGCTTGGCCTTGCCGAGGGAGGAGCCCCCGGCCCCCGGTTGCTCTTGTAGTCAGCCCTCGGGGGCTGCTGATCCGAATGCTGGTGGTATTTCTCCACCTCCTCGGCCTCGGCATATCGGTCCCCCCGCTGCAAAGCCCTTATGTAATCGCGGGGGGGTTCAATGATGAGGCTCCTTGAAAAGTTGCCGGTGCGGAGGACGGTCTGTAGGAGGGCCAGGAGGGTCCCGTCATCAGCACTGTCGACTTTGTCAGCCTCTGTCCTGCAGCGCTCCAGGAAGTCCCGAAGGGTCTCATCCCTCTTCTGGCGTATGGTTAGGAGGTGGGAGAAGTGCTTCCTCGTGCGACGCCTCCCGGCAAATTGTGTCAAGAATCACTGGGCGAGTTCTTGCCACGAATCAATGCAGCCCTCGGGAAACCGGTTGAACCATTCGTATGTCGGCCCCTCTAAGGTGGAGAGGAACCAACGACACAAATATTCGTCCGACGCCCCTACCATCATCATGATGTTCTGATATTTGCTGTAGTGTTCCTGGGGGTCCGTCTTCCCGTTGTAGGGCTGTATGTGTTGCCCTCGGTATTTTTCCGGGATCCGGGCCGCCAATACCCTTGGGGTAAATGGCGTCCGGGTCCGTAGCTGGATGACGGGTTCCCCGGAGCCCTCGGCCACCTTCTTCTGTAATTCCTCCATTTTGGCCATCATGGCCTCGTATTTGAGGTCTGAATGAGGGGTGGAGGTGGTGGCGTGAGCTTTGTTGGCCTCCATTTCATCAAGCCGGCGTTGGAGGGTCGCAATAATTTCATCCCGGGGATCCTTCGGGAGGGTCTCCGCCCCCTGCGAACGAACCCGGGCCGAGTGGGCCTGGTTGATTTGGTGGCGAGCATCATCGGCATGAAGGGGTGCCTTGCCTTTGTCCCGAGGGGGACGCTCCTCGTCTGCCCTCGAGACAGACCCTCCGCTTTCCTGGGGCCTTTGGAGTGCTTTCCCTCCGAGCCGGTCTTGGACCCCTCGGCGGTCTGGCCCTCCTCCGAGCCGATTGAGGGCGGAAGTGCGGGGCCTTTCTCTGTTGTCATTATGGCGGTCCCGGGACTGAACTTCCTGGGAGGACGTATCTTGGACCACTACCCCTTCGTTATTCCTAACCCGAGGGGTTGGGTTTCCGAAGGGGTGTGACAGGGGGGAAGTATGATGTTCTCCCCAACTTGGGGGTGAGCCGGAGCCAGGGTGCCGAAGGCACCCGGGTTCTGAGTGAGCGTTTGGATGAAGGCGGAGAGCGCCGATTGCACGTCGATGGTGAGAACCGGAGGGCTGACTTGGTCATCGCTCCAGTTTTTCTTCTTGGCCTCGATGCCGAGGCGGGCATCGGGGGCATTCTGCTGAATCTGAAGGCGTAGGTCGACAGCCGCCTGTTCCAGCCCAGCGATGACACCGCCCTCGGGAGCCCTGTGAGAGGCTTCGGGGTCGTTGACGTCGCCGAGGGCCAGGTTCTTGTCTTCTACGTTTCTGGAGTTGGCACGTGTTGTTCTCGCCATTTTGGTAGAGGGCTAGTGTCTGGTGAAGGGGGAGGGTTTCTTACTCGATTGTTCGACCTCTCAACGAGAGCACCAAATGATGGATAGTCTACCCGGGGGGTATATATCCGAGGGGTTATTGCAGAGAATAACTTAGAGAGAAGTCAGAGCACAAGTAAGAGAGAGAGTATATCCAGTATGAATGTCGTGGTTACAAATGGGGAAATGGGGTGCTATTTATAGTAGCAATAAATGCCGGACAGGGACACGTGTCAAACGCCCATTGGCCGAGAGGTCACCTCAACTGGTTGGCGCTGGCAGCCGCATGTGGCCGCATTTAATGCGGCTGTTGGATGGGATGTCTGTACAGGGTACGGTGATCTGTACGCATGTGATGCGGAGATCATGTCGGGAGAGGTGCCCCCGGTCACAGAGGACTAGCCGAGGGCTCTTAGTGCAGAAGACCCCTGAGCGCCGAGGGCTCCAGGTGCCGAGGGCTGCTGTTTTCGCCGTTTTCTCCCAGTTCCTCTGTTTGTTCGAAATATCCACGCTGTGATAGTTTGGAGCCTTCGGCCAGGGGGCCGAAGGCACCCCTGGTGCGTATTGCGTGCTGCTTGGTACTCTGGGCGCTGTGATTTGGGCCTGCTTGAGCTTTCTGGGCCTGTTGGGCCTTTACTAGAGTAGTAGGAGTCTGTGGGCCGGGGATTCCCGGGCCATATACTCCATCATCCGGCATATTAAGGTGTCAATCACTCATCGAACCAGCGGTGGCGGCAAGATCTTGCTCCCCGACGATAGCAACAGTTGTTGTGGTCTCCTCCTCGCCAAAAATTACAAAGTGAAGCAACAATCTTCTTCTTCGACGAACAGGAGCAACGGAGATAGGAACGACGGCCAATCAGCCCGGCAGCTTCACCTTAAGTCTCGGTGACGAAATAGCAACGGCAGCCAGACCTTCACCTCAACCTGCGAAAGAGACATCGAAATCGACGGATTTGGATCATCGAACAACAACAAGTTCTAGAAAATAGCAGCACGACCTCCAACTTGCGACCTGCTTCAGTTCCCCTCCGTCAAATTTGGACGGCGGCTCTTTCAAACGTTTAAATTAATGGCAGCAGCCTTCAACCTTCTTCTGAAAAAAAAATATACCAAGATAGAAACCGGCGACGGAGCAGAATTGGTCAGTCTTCCGGGTCTGCAAGGCAGCTGCTACTCGGCTACTCCAATAAGCCGCATATCAGGACAACTTTAATTTGACAGCTTCTTATCTTCACAAATTATCTGCTAATCAATTGAAAAAAAGAAGAAAAAAGACGAAGGGATGGAAAAGATGAACAAGGAAGAAAAATTACAGTGCCTTCAACTCTCCATCTACGGTAGGGTTGGACTCGGGACAGGTCAGGCCCGGGCCGGCGGTTCTATATAGCTGGACCCGGGACCGGCCCGGGTAGCCACCGGGTCCGGGCCGGGCCGGGCCGGGCCTCGGGTTTGGTTAATTTTTTTTTTTGCTTAGCTACCCATCCCTGACCCCCCCCCCCCCCTCACCCCTCCTAAACATCAAGCCCAACCCGGTGGAGCCCAAACAAATGAAAAAAACTAAAAAAAAATAAATTTGGCCCGAACCGGGCCCGGGCCTTGTTATGGGTGACCCGAGCCCGGACCGGAAACCCACCGGGTCGGGCCTACCCGGACCGGTCACTGACCGGGCCACCGGTTCAGGCCGGGCCGGAACAGTACCGGTCCCGGGCCGGTTCCGGGTCGGGCCACCCGGCCCGAGTCCAACCCTAATCTACGGTGCTTTGGCTTTAGTTCGTATGCAGTTGATGAGTTTCAAGTATGGGTTATATTTATAAGGGGTTGGGCTCAAGTTTTTTTAGAGTTTAAGTAGAACTCACATTCTACTAGGGAGGCTTGTTGTATATGAATCTAATATGGACACCTGAAGTTGGAATCCCACTTCAACACCACCTTTGTTTTGCTGGTTAATTTGAAATGCACAAGGAACCTCCAATTGCTTCATTTGAGATGGACGGATCAAATAATGGGCCGTATTAAATCACGATGTGATACTATCAGCCTTATGCAAAGAATTTTTGGGCTTGCTGCCTTGTTGGGATCCAGAAGAGTTGAGAGCTTTTGAAAGAAAGAAAGAAAAATTTGAATTTGTAACTATCGAGACAGGTCTGTCCTTTTCTAAACGAAAAGTCCAAGCAAGTCTCGAGGGGGCATTTGTGGACATATAAAAATTACTGGGCCAACTATGATAGCTATTGAGCTCTTAAAAGCTACCGGGCTATATTATTTGCTAGTAGGCCACTGTCAGATTCTGTTGGGCCGCTCGTGATGGTTGTTGGGTTTTATAAAAATATTAATATGGACCAATTCGGATAAAATTTAATAATTGAATTAATTTGGGTCATTTAAATATCCAATTAATTTAATCTTTAAAAGAATGGACCGGTCCTATTTTGAGCCCATTATTAAATAGTAGCCCGATGAATAAGAGACATGATCCAATTGATAAAGATAACAATGAATATGGTTAAGAAATCCATCTGTATGCATGGAAAATGGCTGCGAACCATGTTAAAAAGGCTGTCCAGATACATCAAACAAGCGTTGATTTTTCTAGCTATTAAATGTAAACAAATAGAGTCCAAAGCCCATTTTAATTAGGGCCCATGAGATATGGACGAATTTGACAACCCTAAAAGCATATTTTCACCCCATACACACCTATAAATAGGGGTCTCAGTTGAGAGGAAAAGGAGGAGAATTTTCAGACGAAGAAACGTTGCAAAAAAGCTCTCAAGAACTCCCGAAACGCTCAGAACGATTCCGAAGAAGAGGAATAGATAAAGCCACGAATTTTATTAAGAGTATACGAATAATCCTTCGTGATTTCGTCGATTCTTAATAAAATAAATCCAAAAGTTGAAGAACGTTCGAAGATCTGAAGAACGAAGCTTGAAGATTCGAAGATCTGAAGAACAAGACTTTGAAGATTCGAAGATATAAAGAACGAATCTTTGAAGATTTGAAGATACTCATATGAAGATTGAATTGAAATTCAATTGAATATCAAGCCATATATCCCGAGAGGCCCTTAAACAAAAGATCAATCCATAAAACGGCCCTTTTGTTGAAGATCAAGCCACTTGAAAACCGGAGGCCTTTCAAGTTGAATTCTCAATTCAAGAAGATTTGAAGATCTGACAAACGAAGAATCGAAGATCTCAAGAACAAAGATTTGAAGATCTGAAGAACGTTTGAAGGATTAAAGATTTAATTTTGAATTAACTTCTTTAATTATATTTATGTCAAATTGCAACTGAAGAATCTGAGGATTCATATTTAAAGATTGTACCCAATATTCTCACATATTATTATTTGCGATCAATTTTAAGTAAATACTTAAAATTTGTTTCACAATAATGATTTTATGCGACCATTTTATAACCATTTTATTATGATTTTGGACGACCATTTTATAACCATTTTGGAGTACCATTTTATTATGATCTTGTGCGACTATGTACACTTCTTTTACTATTTTGTATAGTACGAGTTGATGAGTTTAGGATTTAACCTACAATTTAAATCGATTTATTGGTGTAACGTGCGAGTTTATGTCTTGTCTTAACCATGTTCTGGACGTAGTTCAACTGGTACAAGTGAGTGACATAAGGATTAGGTCCGGATTTGAATCTGATGATTGCGATGAAAGATTACTATACTAAAAATGCATAAAACCTGTACAAATACCGTGAACAGAGCCGCACTCTTTATCTGTCAGATTGTAATTATACTCCAATTTATTTTTTTCACATATGCCAAGTGAGCCGGTGAGAATCAAGCAATAAAATACTCCATAGGTACTATCATAATGAGTACGTTTATAAAGTAGGGCTAATAATGCATAACTAGGACTGCAGCTAGCCATGTATCCTACTTCTAGCCATGAGGTAAGCTGCAGCACTACTGCTAGCTATATGTTTTCTCTTTACCTTTCTCGTGTATGTACGGAGGTAACCAGCACTACTTACTCATTTTTATAGTGCTTCTTGAATCCAATGAGAGTACAAGACCATTTGTAAAGCATTTTTTTTGAATGAAATAAGAGTATACGACCAGGCTTCTCAACGCATCCCCTTCTGAATTTTTGTTTTTGCCATTCCAGTCTAAGAGCACCCATATCATTTCCGGATTGAAGTCATCAAATGAAGGAACCAGCTAGCACCCCAGCAGGTATGCATTCTACCATTCTACTGCTTCCTAGTTTATACTTCATATTTGTTTACTCACAGCTAGTAAGCTCTCCTGTAACATTGCATTCATGGCTTCATCTTCTAAGTCAAAGTCCAAACATTCAAAGTCTCGCCCCCACCATCCTTCTTCATCTTCGTCTGCTTCTTCTCTTCCTTTTCATGAATTTGAAGAAATCGTTTTTAACTCTCATAATTTTCTTGATGCTTCATACTATGAAAACTTCATAGAAACGTGTTTGACCCTCTTGAAGTCAGATACACACTTAGAAATTCCCATAACCCGTCTAGAAGCGGACCATGATTTAAACAATTATTTTTTGCTGAAGTTAGTATGGGGAAACTTTTCTATCAAAGTAGTTGTTAGAAAAAGTGATATATATTTAATTGGATTTGCTTCCGAAGACTGTATATGGTATTTCAAGGATGTTAGTTTGAATCTTATGAAACAAATATTTGCATCCAAAGAATACAAGTCTTTTGATTTTTTTCATATCCATTTTCCCGCTTCTTATGGCTCTCTTGAAGGGCATGCAAAACTTTCTACTAGGATGGACTTTGCTTTAGGCTTAGCCACTTTCAAATCATATATTTGTCAACTTTCTCGTTTAGATAGAGATGACCGTAAGAGGGATAGTTTAATAGTTCGAGCCTTTCTAGTCTTTATCCAAATGGTGCCCGAATGCGTAAGAATTAGAAAATTTCAACAACGGGTCTCCGAGGTTTTTCAACCTAATGAAAATGGTGTTTTTCGTACCATACACCCAACTAGCTTTGAGATAAAATGTCAAGTTTAATGGGAAACTATGTCCGAAAAAACACTGGAGATGAAAAATCTGACAGATAAATTCGATAAACCTGTTGTTCTTGGCGACGGCGAAGGTGAGACGGTTGAGTGTGGTGAACACGTGAAACAACTTCTACACATACTCAAGTCCAAAAAGTTTTCTTAAGGTATTTTATACGATAATATTAAGTAATTAAGTATATAGTGAGTAATTAAGTATATATTACGGAATATTAATTATAAATGCTACGGAGTATATTTAAATTTCCACTACATTTAAGTTCTCATTTGAATTTGTTGTCAGGTTGACAGATAACCTTCAAAGTTAATCTGACACAGCCGGATGGTGCGATGGATCGAGTTTGTCCAGATTTAAATTCAAGAATCACACCTGAAAATTCCACTACACCGGAATTTTGCCAAAAAAAAAAATCAAACATGAAGAGAGTGCATGAGGGAGCATGCAATTTTCAGGTGTGATTCTTGAATTTAAATCTGGACAACCTCCATCCATCGCACCATCCGGCTGCATCAGATTAACTTTGAAGGTTATCTGTCAACCTGACAACAAAATCAACTGAGAACTTAAATGTAGTAGAAATTTAAATATACTCCGTAACATTTATAATTAATATTCCGTAATATATACTTAATTACTCACTATATACTTAATATTTTAATACTATCGTAATAAATACCTTAAGAAAACTTTTTGGACTTGAGTATGTGTAGAAGTTGTTTCACGTGTTCACCACACTCAACCGTCTCACCTTCGCCGTCGCCAAGAACAACAGGTTTATCGAATTTATCTGTCAGATTTTTCATCTCCAATTTTCTTTCGGACATAGTTTCCTATTTAACTTGACATTTTATCTCAAAGCTAGTTGGGTGTATGGTACGAAAAACACCATTTTCATCAGGTTGAAATACCTCGGAGACTCGTTGTTGAAATTTTCTAATTCTTACGCATTCGAGCACCATTTGGATAAAGACTAGAAAGGCTCGAACTATTAAACTATCCCTTTTACGGTCATCTCTATCTAAACGAGAAAGTTGACAAATATATGAATTGAAAGTGGTTAAGCCTAAAGCAAAGTCCATCATAGTAGAAAGTTTTGCATGTCCTTCAAGAGAGCCATAAAAAGCGGGAAAATGGATATGAAAAAAATCAAAAGACTTGTATTCTTTGGATGCAAATATTTGTTTCATAAGATTCAAACTAACATCCTTGAAATACCATATACAGTCTTCGGAAGCAAATCCAATTAAATATATATCACTTTTTCTAACAACTACTTTGATAGAAAAGTTTCCCCATACTATCTTGAGCAAAAAATAATTGTTTAAATCATGGTCCGCTTCTAGACGGGTTATGGGAATTTCTAAGTGTGTATCTGACTTCAAGAGGGTTAAAAACGTTTCTATGAAGTTTTCATAGTATGTGAATCATCAAGAAAATTATGAGAGTTAAAAATGATTTCTTCAAATTCATGAAGAGGAAGAGAAGAAGCAGACGAAGATGAAGAAGGATGGTGGGGGCGAGACTTTGAATGTTTGGACTTCGACTTAGAAGAAGAAGAAGACGAAGCCATGAATGCAATGTTACAGGAGAGCTTACTAGCTGTGAGTAAACAAATATGAAGTATAAACTAGGAAGCAGTAGAATGGTAGAATGCATACCTGCTGGGGTGCTGGCTGGTTCCTTCATTTGATGACTTCGATCCGGAAATGATATGGGTGCTCTTACACTTATGGCTGGTAGAATGGCAAAAACAAAAATTCAGAGGGGGATGCGTTGAGAAGCCTGGTCGTATACTCTTATTTCATTCAAAAAAAATGCTTTACAAATGGTCTTGTACTCTCATTGGATTCAAGAAGCACTATAAAAATGAGTAAGTAGTGTTGGTTACCTCCGTACATACACGAGAAAGGTAAAGAGAAAACGTCAGAAGGGAGATGCTTTGGAGATAATTTAATTAAGTGTTTGCATATGTGTAGCGTGTAAAACGTATAGCTAGAAGTAGTGCTGCAGCTTACCTCCGTAGGATACATGGCTAGCTGCAGCCTGCAGTCCTAGTTATGCATTATTAGCCCTACTTTATTAACGTACTCATTATGATAGTACCTATGGAGTATTTTATTGGTTGATTCTCACCGGTCCACTTGGCATATGTGAAAAAAATAAATTGGAGTATAATTACAATGTGACAGATAAAGAGTGCGGCTCTGTTCACGGTATTTGTACAGGTTTTATGCATTTTTAGTATAGTAATCTTTCATCGCAATCATCAGATTCAAACCTGGACCTAAACCTTGTGTCACTCACTTGTACCAGTTGAACTACGTCCAGAACATGGTTAAGACAAGACATAAACTCGCACGTTACACCAATAAATCGATTTAAAGTGTAGGTTAAATCTTAAACTCATGAACTCGTACTATACAAAATAGTAAAAGAAGTGTACATAGTCGCACAAGATCATAATAAAATGGTACTCCAAAATGGTTATAAAATGGTCGTCCAAAATCATAATAAAATGGTTATAAAATGGTCGCATAAAATCATTATATAATTGTAATTAAATGTGAAGGATGACTTTTTAAAATTATTAAAATTAATGATGATGCTTTTATATAAAATCCCACCCGGTACTAACTACTAAATTCACTAATACGGGGGTATATATAGTTATGTACACAATATTACATCCGTTCTCTTTGAACTATTAAAATTAACGATGATGCAATATTGAACTGTTTGCACTATTCATAAATTCTACTTTGATTATATTTTATTTATTAATTTATTATAAATTAAATTTTTAAAAATATTGTTAAATTTTTCTCATCCTAAATTTTCAAAAACTGATTTTTTTTAATTTTTTTAATACTGTAATAAGGAACGGAAGAAATTAATGGTCAAACTTGTGTGTTGGCAAACATGAAAAATGGACTGTTGCAATTCCAAAGGAACGGAGGAAGTATTATTTAATTTATTTTTTATTTACATAGAATGTTAGAAAAATGATATTAAAAGCGAGTTCAACCAGATAAAAATCCCGAGTTTAAATAAAAAAACAGACAAACCACCAATGCAAGAACAAGAAAAAACAATAATACTCCGTAATAATTAGAAAGGGATTGAGTGATTGACTCTATTTTTGTCCTGAAGGAAGAAATCGATCAGGTTTCAGAGATTTCTTAGCAGGATTATTCAAAGTCATTAATTTGTTGAAAAGTTTTTTAGAGCCAATAAAAATGGTACCAGATTTGTTGTCGGGTCTTGATAGGGTTGGTAACAATCATGATTTTTTGATCTCTGGGTACTTTTTCAAGCTGATATTCAAGATTTTTCTCCTTCGACAATCACTCCAGATATGTCTTCATCGACTAATTTGATTTCTCCTTCCGATGCATTGATGGAACTAATTACTTTGTCCAAGAAAAACGTGAAATAGAATGAAAATAGTTTTTCCAAAGTGGAAGGTTGTGGGTAAGAACTCAACCGGTTAAGGGTGAGAAAAACCGAACTGAAACCCGGAAACCGACCCTAGCCTGGCCCGATTGATATTTCCGGTCCGGGTTTTTTCTATTTAACCGCCCTGAATAAAAAAATCCAGACCGAACCCGAAAATTCAGGCTCATAAGCGGGTCCTAAAATCTATAACCCGACCCGGACCAATAAAAACCCAAAAGAATTGGCTTTAATATAAAATCAATATATTATACAAATAGAATATATAAATAATTCCTAATACGATAGTATATGATTATAATCACAGTGGATGAAAACATGACCTAGTACTTTTAGTGACTAAAAATATGTTCAATTTGTTTACCATAATGACCATGGAAATATATTTATTATGGTATTTAGTCACTTTTTTATCCATAATTTTTATTCCGTAATATTTTGAGAAAACCTATATTATTTATTTATATGCATCTTAAACAAAATATTAAGATAATTACCTTCTTTGGATTTGAATTGTTGGTGATTTTGGAGACTAATATTTGTGTTATTATTTGCGGCTTGTGTTTTTTATTAGTTTTATTTAAAAATGGGTTTTAAAATATAAAAAGACAATGATATGATTTCACATTCGGACTTTAACCGGCCCAACCCGAACCCGATCATAAAAAACCCGACTCGGACTGAATACAATAAACTTTGTTCCGGTCCTTAAATTTCATAATCCGAGATCGTCCGGCTAATTTCCGTATTTTATGACTATAATAAAGGTGCATGCTTTAGGAAAAGGTAACCTTTAAGAGTATCATAAGTTCATAGCGTATTTATTAGTAAAATAAAGGTATGAGCTTTAAGAAAAGGTAACCTTTAAGAGTATCAATTATGATAGCCACATTTTTATTTTAGCAATATTATCTATGTAACTTTTTTTAATTAAATGACACATATTTGAGTTTAATATTTAAAATATACCCCCTTCGTCTCGTAAAAAATTTTATTTTGACCTTTACACGTATTTATGTAAGATAGAGTTTTGTTTTGATTTTCCAAGTATACCCTTACTTTATGTCAATATTTACAAAAAGTGGATGAAAAGTAAGAGTAATTATGACTTTTTGGTTAAAAGGGATTTTCTTTCTTAGAAATGAGAATTTTTTTTTGGAATTTCATAAAAGAAAAGTGAGAACTACTTTAGGGGACGGAGGTAATATAACTATATCATAGTAACTAGCATCGGCACGCGCTTTGCGCGAGCGTTGATGCCCAATGGTGAACATTATACCCCTGCCCCCGACCCAAGAAGAAAATAAGTAACTATAAGGAATAGTGTGAAGGAGAGCTTACATGGAGTCCTCTATCACAAGACAGTTTGCTGCATCTACGTTCATCCTCTTTGCAGCTTCACGAAATCTGAGCAGAAGAAAAAAAAATGATGTTTTACATTGTAGGGAAAAAACATTTATAACATACATATCGCAAACATAGCTGCAATAAAACAGTTACGGTGGCAACATACTGCTTGTCTTGGATAAAACATCATTTGTATTTAGTAAATATTCATCACAATCTCAATTCCGAACCTCCAAACTCATTCTTGTTCAAGTTTTCTTTATGCATACAAGTTAAATTATTAATGGCAGGAGAAAACAAAGGTGCACATGGATTTAATGCAATAGCTTCTTCAAAAGGAAGGTAGCGGACTGGACATAATGAAAAGAAAAACAGGGATACCTAATTTAATTAAGAGATCAATTAGACAAAGTCTCAAGTGCAATTTGTATAGCCTGGAACAGCCCAGGCTTCTATGGCAACATCAAAGAAAGCAGGGGCTTTTACAGCAACACCATTATGTATGATGGTAACCAGATGTTGGTTATCTATAACACAACCATCATTAGGAAAAATGTGGGCAGCGATAGCAGCAAGAGCCTGGGCTTCAGCCGGGGCATCAGAAGCTTCAAAGTCAGTTGCAACAACTGTCTAGGCTGATACGAAGTATATCACATGTATAAAACCAGAATAAAGAAGGGCATGTGCGTGGTCAAAACAAGCACATTCAACATTACTGGTTCTAAAACCAGAATCAACGAAGACAGGTTTCTCAACATTTACAGCATCGCAACCAGAACAATTAAAAGGGGCATCAGTTGTATCAAACATGGAGGGGGCATCGGGGGCATTAAAACTAAGTAGATCACCAGCCCAGGCAGCAATCTAACTGGTTCTAAAACCAATATCAAAAGGGGCATTGTTAAATCTAGCAAAAACATCATTAATGAGTTAATTCAAAATCTTTTCCTGAGTAGTTACCTTCATAGCAAGTGTTCCTTTTTCTTCTTCACTCAAACTTGTAGCACCTTCCTCTTGTCTTCGAATTTCTGCTACCCACTTAATAAATTCTGAAAAATTAGCAGGCAGAGATGCTAAAACAGATGAGAGAAGATCTTTTACGTCCTTCACATTTTCTGAACTCAATAGCAAGGGAACACCATCTATTAAGTATTTCGCGATATCAACCCAACTTTCATGCTTACAGCTCTGCATCATTTCAAAGAAATAGCTTAATATGGATGGACCGATGGACTAACTTTTCAGATAACAGAGAAATTGATATGGAAGATATACAAACACAAGAAGATTAATGTAAATATATACCAGGGTGTAAAGCAATGCTGGTGCTCTGTGGAGCCTGGTAACAAGCATGAAACTGGAATTTTTTATGGCAAACAGGAAATTAGTGAATCGATTAGGTCAGTCAATAAAAATATTAAGTGTGTAAACACAAGGACAAAGATAATTATATGACCCATTCGTGGCCAAGGGAGAAAAAAGAGAACATGATACTAATGTCAAAATGTAAAGCAGTGTCAAGTGTCAACCATGTGCTATGAGGGAGCACAATGGGGGAAAGAAGTATATTCAAAAAGGTATATCTTCAGATGGCCATAATAGCCCATGTATGTCACTATACTTATGTGAACTCAGCAATCATCTCAAAATGATATATACTCAAGGCATAAATTGCATAACCAATGTAAAAATCTGGCACGACAAGATCATTGTAACTTCTATGATAAATCTGGTGAACTGTGGTCCAAGAGACATCTACTTTATTGAATATTTAGAAATGGATTTGGTCATTGGTCTAATTGCTGATTCAGGAAATATCCAATTCAGGGAATATAAATGACCCATAAATTCCTTAATCTCTACAATCATTTACTCTAAATTTGCTACACCTTTTTAATTATGGAAGCCACTTTTGATACATTTAACTATTTTAACACAGGCATCTGCAACTTCCATGTAAAAATAAGATACTAAGAAGCGTATTTGTGTAAGTCACATACCCCCTATGTAACCATGTTGCTTCATCAGAGGGTGTACCGTCTAAGGGTATTTTAGAAATAAAGTCCTCACCTGAACATTTCTCATCCTTGACCCGAATGTCTAGCTCACAAACTACATTCTACATTCGTAATATACTACCGAGTGTTTTAAGATCATTTACCGTCCAAGGGTTCTCATACCCCTATGGAACACATACCCCCTATGTAAGGATCTAAAGTCAGAATGAGCAGTGACAGAATCTTTAGCATTTACATAATCACAACCAGCACAAACACCTCCTTTAGCAGAGGGTGTACCCAAACATGATTGGCCAGTTTTAGTTAAACAAAAATGAACAAGGAACTGAAAACAAATTAACGAACCAAAACAAAAATACCTCACAAACTGAAGAAATCATAGAGGCATAGATTGCATAGTTTTGAAGGGCTGGAGCCATGTTGTTCACTATTGTAGTTGTTATTACTTCTTCCAAAGGGTCACTAAACAATCGGCAAAAAACCAATCAGCCAATATAATGATATATTGAATAGTGAACACAAAACCTTAGAAGGAAAATGAAGAGTAAATATATTGGGATTGTTTTATCCATTTACCTTCAATACAGTCAAGAATTTGATCCATGAAACCTAATTTCTTCTTGGAAGCAGAACAAGCCAGTGAAGGATTCCGAACTTTACCATCTGAAATAACAAAATTGGAATTCTCCTTACACGCAGACAACCTAAGAAACTTGATTGGGTAAAAACTTAAGTGGGTTTTCCACTTTGTGTTGTTTCATGTCTTCACAACAACTACTAACAATTGGAGATGGAGATGACTAAAAAATGGAGATGGAGAAGAAGATGGATAAGAGGATGGAGATAGGTAACAAATGGAAAGAGGCGGAAGATACCTGCAGATTGACATCGAGGGCGGCTCCTTCGGCGGACGATGGGCTGTGACGCTTCCTTGAGAACCCTAGCTTGCGGACGATGGGCTCTGCCACCGGTCCTTGACCCTCCGCTGGCGGCATAGTGTGCCGCGCAGGCCTTGGGAAGCAAGAAGACAGCTATCAGTTGAAAGAAGGCGTAAAAGAGATGCTCCCATTTCGTTAGTGCGGCCGATGATCCCTGGCCGCAGAACACTCCACCTGCACATGTGCGGTGTGGATCCATTTGAAATGCTAAGCAAGGGAAAAAACGGCTGAAAGAAACGGGGGGAGCTGTTAGTTGAGTTTGCGCCTAAAAGGAGTAACAGCGCAGACTGTTCACACGGCAAATAGGCCATAGTAACTCCCTTAGGCTCTTATTATAGTTTATAGTAGATATACTTCGTATGTTTATTTTATATACTAAAGTAGCTTTGCCATTATACTCGTAGTAACAAGATTTTTTACAAACGAAGGGTACTCAATCTTATATATTTTGCAAATAATGGTTTTCGTAAACAATTTCCCTAATGTAGATATTTTTCCCATGTATACATTTAGAGCTCGTTTTGTAATATCAAAATAGACTCTATAGTTCTGATGAAAATTTTGAAATTTTTGCTGAATTGGCTGATTTTGCAGATTTGTGAAAAATTATTATATAAAGTATATTTTTTAATGAAATAAAAAATTAATATTTAAAGTACTTTTAATGATTTTCATCTACATTAACTTCATCAACCCATACAATCAGCAAGGTAACTTCAACTTTACGTTTTTTTATTATTACATAATTCAGCGCACAAAATCAAAAGTTCTGTGTTTGATGAAAAAAGTTGGTTGATAAGCCTACAAGTCAAAAACAATATTACCAAACAGACTATTAGTTAGAAAATAAAAATAAAGAGATCATATCCTCTGAAAAATCACCCATAGTAATTTTAGTCATATTTTAATAAAATATGCATTTACTCCATTCGTTCTAAAATTAACTTCTCACTTTCGTTTTCGAATAACGAAAATTAGCTTAAGATTCAACTACACCTTCATTGACCACAATACCCTTTTTTCGTAATTCGTTCTGAAAATTCTTTGATTCATAAGTTGGTTTTGAATATACCTGCATTTAACTTCTCTCTTATTTGTTGGGACCACAATAACCTTTATTTGGGGGCGCCAATTCGTTCTGAAAATTCTTTGATTCATAAGTTGGTTTTGAATATACTCCATTCGTTCTGAAATTAACTTCTCACTTTGTTGTGGCCTTAAGTTTTAAAATGTACGCCGAGTCAATGATAACGAGCAATCATCTCGGTCACTTGGTTAAAATCCTCGTCATTCGTTTCTTCTTAATTGTCGTTGGTAAATAATTCGCCTCCATTGTAGGTGAAGTCATCTTTTTAGTTAGGGTGAATTCGGGTCGGGTCGGGCCTAGTCCAGGTCGGGCCTAGGCCCGGGCTGGCCGGCGGGTCTGAATAGGTGGACCAGGGACCGAACCGGGTAGCCACCGGCACTACTAGAAAAGGCATTATTAGATTATTAGAGAGGAACTAGATAGGAAAATATTTTGCTATCTAATTTAGATAGGAACTTTGAAAGGAATCACATGGTGTATAGTTAGGTAGGAATTTTACTTGTTAGAAAGGAACTTGAGTTCCTACCCATAATAAAAGTAAATGAATAATATTTTTAAGGGAAGCTATCCGGTACACCAGCTTTGGGATGTTTTGGTGCATCCTCCATGTGTCTAAAATTGATTGGCAATAATATCCACGTAAGCCATCTTATTAAAAAAATTTAAAAATTGCAGATTGATCCTTAGGCAACAAAAATATTCTTGCCGGCCTCTCTCTATTTCCCGCTCTGGAGTGACCGTCCCCCATCACCATTTCATTTTGTCTTCCCCAACGATGTCAGATCACAAATTCAATCGAAATCTCCGACTGCCCGTGTATAGTCCGATTCCGTTCAACGTCGGAACTAGGTTACAATCAGGGCTAGATGGAATCTGGAAGTGGTCGCTCAATCCAATATTACCTCCTTCACGGATAAAAATTCGAGCAGATAAGTTTACTTTTTTTTTGTGTTTATCTGTTTCTCCATATGAAATCCTTTCATATTAAACCAATCGTTGATCAAATTTGTTATTCAGAAAGGGTGTTTTCCACTAATTGTTTGGTTACGATTGTAACATGGATGCCATGGCCATGAAATTTGTAACGATTGTTGAAATTTCTGTTCTTGCTTCATGCCCTTTGACCTTCCTGGTTACTTTGTCGGTCATGGCTTACAAGGATTTTGCATTAAATTTCATATATAAAGATGACATCTATTTGTGGGTGCTTATATGATGAACTGACAAGAGTCTTTTTTATAGCTTATGGTGATGAATATATGTTTTGCTTGTCAAAATAGGTGGACCTTTTGCTGATATAGTCACTGTATGACCCTAAAATTATTATCTTTTTTGGAACAAATTTAGATAAGATTAAGAATCAAAGGACATGCTCCCACTGAAAAACCATATTAAAAGCCACAGTCTTTCTTTCTTTTGCCTACATGTAATTCTCCCTTGGGTTAAAAACTAAAGATTGGGTTGTATTAATTTACAACTTTATTGTTATTAGCTTTGTTGTTTGTTTGCTCTTTGCTGCAATCATGTCCAAAATTTGTGAGATGATTCTAATTTCTTGTGGAGCTTGTTCCTCTGGGGATTAATATTTGTATTTGATTGATTATGTGTTGTTGAACTTAATTATGACTGGTGTCTAATTTGATTGGGAAACCTATGATCCTATGGTGCATGAATTGATCAATGAAGAGCTGCTCCCATTGGTAGGTAATGGCGTTCTCAAGGTAGCAGCTAAAGCAAAAGAACTCCTTAAAGTAGTGTGACAAAAAAAGGTGAATGAGACTAAATTTGCTTGAGTTCTACCTACTTTTTGGTTCTTAAACATTGTTTTCTTCATGAAACCAATCTCTCTACTGATAATTTAGTAGATGATATGGAATATGCTTGTGTTGTAAATTAGTACTCTCCCACTTTCTCCACTTTTAACACAAAGAGTACTATGATTCTTTTGTTTGAAGCTCCTTCTATAAAAAACTGAAAACCTGTATCCTTAGTACATATATACCAAACATGCAAAAAAATGCCAAACTTGTTTCCAATTTGTCAAACATGTACAACAGTCCATCTTTTATAATGATTTTTTGGTAAGAGCACACATTCAAAACTAATACTAAATTAAAACTATAGAGATATGGAAGTATGATATAATTTGTTTAATATTTAAATATATACTCTGTGCTTTAACATCTCGTAGAAACCAGTGGTTTCATTTTGGGCAATCAAAAGCCATTGATCCCCAGTTTTGATGTACATATTTCATTTCTTTCAGGATATGGGTAAATTACTTCTTGTCAGAATAGCATAGTAGGCTCATTTTCTTTACATTTAGTGGTGTATTCATGAAATTGGTTGTACCTAAGTATCTTCACTGGGACATCTTCTGCAAAGTACAAAAGCTGCATATTTTGGCTATAAGTTATAGGGTTTTATCACTTTATGCATGAGTTTTGATTTTTTGGATGAAATTTGAGATAAATTTGTTTTCACCGATCATATTTACACAGCTCTATCAACCGTTATCTTGGATCCAACAGATTTGAATCAAATTTTAGCTATGGTTTTTTACCCGCATATGATGATATGAATGTTAGAATGTTAACTTGATTTTCAGGTTTGGTTTTACTTTAATTACACAATATAAATAACTCCAATCCCAATTAGATTGGTTTTTAAATGTGTGGTTTGGGTATCCCGAAAGTCTGCAAAACAAATAAGAATGTTATAATAATAATATTAATGATAAAGATTAGCATGAAAGAATGGCAAAATTAATACTCCGTACTAATGAGCTTGGATTGGACAAAATGTGACTAAAAGTGAATTGGACAGAAAAGTGATCTTTTCTGTCCATTGCATTTTTCACGCTTCCAGGTCTCATCATCGTTCTTCTCCCTCTTGAGCTTCACTTTTAAAACTTTTAATTGCTTAAATCCATATTCTTATCTGTTTTGCTCTTAAATTTCTCTTATATCAGAAATAATTTGCTCAGGCTGTACATTGTGGTGATTTGGCAACCACTGATAGTAAAGCATTATACCTTCAAAATCGTTGTGAAAAGTTGCGTTTTGATCTACAGAAAGCAATTGAGACACATGCAGGTAGTCATATGTGATTTATTCGTACGAATCCCATCAAATTTTCGAGAATCTAATAGGCATTTACTTTCATACTGCTCTAAAAAAATTCATTAGCTAGTTTGTGGTTCATACCAAATGTGATACTGGGGTATCACATTTAGCTAGTTTGTATAAAAAGCATATGTGGTTCATTAGCTATTTTTCATACCAAATTTTCATTAGCTAGTTTTCATTAGCTATGTACTAAATCTAAAAAATTTCATTAGCTAGTTTGTGGTTCATTAGCTAGTCATATGTGGTTCAACTAATGTGATACTGATCAAATGTCAACACAAATGGGATACTAAAAGTGTGATTTCCCCAACAGTGTTTGGCTACAAGCCACCTGTGGTTCATAATAATATAATTTAGGTTAAATCAATCCAGAAAAACTCAATCAGAATAAAAAAACATGGAAGGTTCAAATCCAGATATAAGATTTCTATCTACTACAATGAAATAAACTACTTAATGTCTGAAAAAACACCAAATCCTAGGCTAAACTTGAACAAGCTTCTTCATGTTTGACTCAAGTTCCATCCAGGTCTTGAAAGCTTTGTGAACAACTTCATCCCTCAATCCATTATAGGAATCCAAAACTAGATCAATGGCCAAATGCATCCTCGGGTCAGGTGTGACCTATGGATATGAAATGATGTTAGTAACGAACACAACTTAGCCAAATATTTTACGTAGCATTACAAACATTGAAAGAAAAAAAATAGTAGAATGACTTACAGAAACATGGCTATAATTGTTGGTCCAAATGCATTCCGACATCCATCTAGCTACCCAAACACCGCAATCGTTCCTAAGTTGATAGAATTAAAACCAGCCATGTAATTTTGAAAGAAAGTTTTAAAGCAAACAACAAAATAAAATTTGTATTCATATCTTACAATCCATTCAATTGCCGACCAATTCCTTCTGGTTTAGCCAAGGCATAATCTGATATTAATAGCCTTTTATCGTTGGAGGAGTCATAAAATGAAGAGTCTGTCAACATTTCTTCTAAATATACTGCCTGGCACAGAACTCAAATGTTAAAAAAAAATGATAATAATTGTATGTATAGAATTTTTACACAATTCTTAC